TGATTCTATGGTTCCTCTAGATGAGATCTATTATCATTACAGATATATGATTAAAACAAAGGTCTCATAATCAAATGAGATAATGTGGATAAAGTGCTTTGCTAACCTTAAAGAGCCATTTAAAAATGAGCCATTATTATGTATTGAAAATGTAGTAGGGGAAGCTAGGTGGCGCAGTGGATAGAGCACCAGCCCTGAAGTCAGGAGGACCTGAGTTCAAATCTGACCTCAGACCAAACACTTAACACTTACTAGCTCTGTGACCCTGGGCAAGTCACTTAACCCCAATTGCCTAAAAAAAAAAAAAAAAGAAAATGTAGTAAAAGGATTATCTCCTAAACCCCTATCATGCTGGCTGGTCTAGGTTTTTTTTTTTTGACAGGTACTAAATAGTACCTAAGACACAACTGGTCCAAGGGACTCAGGCTCGAACCACTGACCTAGCTTTCTGGTGGCCTAAGCACAAAAACCTATACAGGAAGAGTCAGGATCTCCTCTCTGAGGTTTCTGATCAGTCTGACCTGCGTGGCCAACAAAGAGGGAGGGAAATTGTGCCCAAATGAATTAATGCTGCATTCTTGCTGAATGGCTTTTCAATGCTATGGTTATACACTTACTTTTGTTAATCTGCTAGATATTTGACAAATGCCTCATTTTGTTCTAATCCTAAACTTGAACCCCTAGACAGGCCTGAGTTAGGCATGACCTATATAACACTGGATCTCCTGAACGTATGAGAAGGGAATAGGTGGGCTTTCACAAATGATCATTTACAGCAGTTCACTTTTATAATCATATAAGTGAGTAATGAATACAAGTCTTACTTATTGTTTTTTGACTAAATAAACAAGCACTTGGTAGAACAAATTGTGGATTTACGCTCTCTTCTTTTTAACATGTTTTCCACGGCTATCTTAAAATAATGTAAGATTTCTTGAAAGATAATAGCCAAGATAACTGTTTAGTGACCCTCTGATGGAAAATATCAGTAAGGCTTTTTTCAAAATAAGGAGATTATGAGTGCTAAAGGTGTCTCTCAACATCATGGAGAATGTCCAACAGAATCCAAACGAAAGGATTCCCTCGTGAGGTCCTCCAGATGCTCCTGTTTGCAGATCAGAGAATCACAGATATACAGCTGGAAAGGGCCATCTAGTCCAAACCACCTTTTATAGATGAGGAAAGTGAGGCCCAGAAAGGTAAGGTGTCTTCCTGATTCTAAATCCAGTGCTCTTATAACAGTGCCGCTTAGAAGACATTGTGCTGTGTGCATCATAAATAGATCTATAACCTTTCATAAGAATTCAGTTTAACTATCCAGAGAAAAAAACAAATGGATGAAGAAAGTCTATTGCCTGGAAAATCACAGACTTGGATGATATACACTTGGATGATGGAGTTGCCAGACACTGTAAATGCACAATGTGTTGGGCCTGGAATCTGACTAGAAGGGGTTAGGTTGTATTTGGGAAAATACACGGTGCTTTTTAACTACCTCAAATTTCTTTTTGAAACAAAGGCCTGTCTTTTTGCATGGATATTCTTTATGTGGTTCTATATCTGGGCCATGGAATAACAGACTCCTTAAAATGAACATTGCAGGTCATCTAAAGGGAAATAGAAAGATGACAGGTATGCAAAGGCCACACAGCATATTACAACCAAGAAATGAGAAGGAGAAGAAGTACTGATGTTATTCTCAAAAGAAATGTATGACTGGAAAAAGGTGGTGGGCTAGTCATGTATAAAGTAGAAAGAAAGCCATAATCAGTAGAGGTCCTAGGTACCCACACAATGTAAAGAGGAAGTCCCTTCACTCCTGCAGATAATTTAAGGGAGGACACAGAGAAAATCTACACAGGATGAGGTGTGGGATGAGCTACAATTGCACTCCTGGAGGAGAATATATACATAGATAAGATCATCAAACAAATTCAACAAAGTATCAAAATATATTTGAGCAGTTACTTAAACAACAATAAACTCTTTTAGGACTTTTAAGTTTTGGCCACAACATACCTATAATGTTAGCAGTGCTAAATATTTTAAATATTATTCCCACTTTACAGACTCAGATTAAGTGGCTTATCTATAACCACATGACCAGAAAGTTTTTAAGGTGGGATGTGAAGCTGTATTTCCTGACTCTAAGGTCAATGTACTCTTTCTACTACGTGATCTTGCTTCAGCTGTACTGCATACGGTAGGCATTTAATGAATTCTCTTTTCTAAGCGGTGGGTCTGACTTTTTCTTATGTCATTAAGAAATCTTGCTTTGACTTCACATATATAATGGTTATTGTATTTCTTCCCTTCTCAATGGGTGGGGGAGGGGTGGAAAAAGAGAAATTTGAAAATGAAAATTTTTAAAGGAAAAAGAAATCTTGCTAGTTAATCTTTTACAATATCAACATAAGCCTGTTTCATGTCAGTTTGTAAGATAAATCATCCCTAACTTCTGGAGGTAATGTAGCATGCATATATGTACTTCTAAGGTACATACATTTTATAAAAATTCACATGTAAATCTTTAAAACTATTTTGACAATACTTAAGTCTCTACTACCTCAATAAACAGTGTTTATTAAGTGTCATAATACACACCAACTACGTTTGACATAGCATATAGTTTTCTAGGACTTATGTACCCAGGGCTAGGTCTTTCATAAAATAGTTGTGGCCAGTTTTATAACCCAAAGTTCTATTTCTTTTAAGACAACAAAAATAAAACTGCTTCAAAGACATCAAAAAATCTGTTTGAGGTACGTAATACAACTCTATGATAAAGCTGCTGAGAAAGCTGAATAAATGACTGAAAAAGCAGGTGGTGGATACCACTGTTCTATCTGGTTTGAAATAGGACCTTGGACAGGGCAACAAATTTCAAATTAATGACTTTGGTTTACTGATGTCTAAACAAGATTAGTCAATTATTTGGTAAAGATTAGAATTTAAGATTAGTCACCTGTTTTCACAAAACAAAGAACATGTCTAGGCAACTAGTACAGTGGAAACAGTTTTGGACTTATAGTCAAAGGACCTGGGTTCAAATCCCAATTCTACTATCTGATGTTATGCAAGTCACTAACCTCTACATAGACTTGCTTCTCATTTGTAAAATGATAGGGTTGATCTAGATGGCCCCTAGGAACCCTTAAAAATCTAAGTTTATATTGTGCTATAAGAAATGATGAGCAGTGGACTTCAGAAAAACCTGGAAAGACCCATATGAATTGATGCTGAGTGAAGTGAGCAAAACCAACAGAACGTTGTACACAGTAACAGCCATGTTGTTCAATGACTAACTTTGATAAGACTTAGTCATTCTCAGCAATGCAAGGATCTAAAGACATCTCCAAAAGTTTCATGATGGAAAATGCTATCCACATCCAGAGAAAGAACTATGGAGTTTGAATGCAGATCGAAGCATACTATTTGCTTTTTTTTTTTCTGTTTTGTTTTCTCTTTCTGGTAGTTCCTCCTATTGGTTCTAATTCTTATACCACTAATGTGACAGTATGTTTAATAGGAAATGTATATGTATGGCCTATATCAGATTGAGCACTGTCTTAGGGAGGGAGGTGGAGAAAAATTTAAAACTCAAAAGCTTATAGAAGTGATTGTTGACAACTCAAAATAAATTAATAAAAAAAAATCTTAGTTTACATAATTCTATGAACTACTTTACAGAGAAACCATGCCTTCAATGATATGCACACTAGGGCATTAGCAACAATATATCAAAAGCCACTAAAGGAGAACACAATTACAGCTTCTTCAGGGTAGTTTTTCACATCCTTAGCTTCTCAAATATAATCAACCTTCTCTGAGTGAACATCTGCAGCCATGCACTGTCTCAGGTTATTTACAATTTGTACCAGACCAGTATCAAGAACAGTGTCTTTCTTCTAGAGAAGAGTCATACTATTTTTATGGGCTACAAATAACTGATGTTAGGAACTAACTGACAGATAATAAATTCTCCACTAATTGGTACTGGGGGCTATTCATTTTTTAATCTGCTAGCATTAAATACAATGTGCTGGACATTAAGAGCCAAATCAATTCTTATTTGATCAGATTGAATCCAGCGATCTTTTCTTCAGAGCATGCCTGCTTAGCTGCAGGTTGTACACTATGATTAAGAGTAACTTTCTAAAGTCCACAAAGTGGAACTCACTTGTGAGGGCTCCCTTGATGATCTCACCCACTTCATGGCTATAATTATCATGTCTATGCAGGTAACCCCTAATTTTATACAGCTAGCCCTAAACTTTCTTGAGTTCCAGTTTCGTATTTCCAATTAGCTGCTACATACTCCAACCTCATTATGTCCAAAATGGAAGTCAACCTTTCTCACCCAAATCTGCTCCTCCTTCCAATTTCCCTATTTTTATTAATGGCACCATCTTTTCCCTAGCCATGCAGGCTTGAAATCTCAGAGCCATCCTCCCTCTTATCCCTGATGTTTCATTAGTTTCCAAGTCCTGTTAATTCAGTTCCACACTATCTTTCACAAGTATTTTGAGCTCTCTTATCAAACTGCTACTATCCCAGTTCAGGTCATCATCATCTTTCATCTTAGCTATTGTAATTTTCTCTTCACAACTATAATTTTCTCTTAATTCTCTTCTACCTCAAATTAGTCCTTCCTCTAGCTGCCAAATTAATCTTCTAAATGCAGATATGATGACCACATATAACTGCCTCCTCAAAAAGTTGTGGATCTAGAATTGCCTACAGTATAAAATTCATCTCTTCCTCCAAAGAAGGCTCAGCTTAGGTACCACCTCCTCCACAAAGCACCTCTCACTGTCTCAGATTAAAGAGATTTATCCCTTGCCCTTACCACATTCTATCTTGTATCAATTACAGTAGCCTTGTCACCATCCCTCATATTAGGTTGTCCTCAGGACCAAGGACTGTGTTTTTCTTTACCTTTGTATCCCCAGTCTTATAACAGAGTGGGGGTTTCATTAAATGAACTGAGGTTTACTCACTGATCTTCTGTTCCAAAAAACTTCACAAAGAAGCACTTCTTTCCACGAGGTTTCTTCAAATCTTTGGGTGGATTTACAATCTAAAGGACAAAAGGGAAAAAAAGGTTCAGTTATGACAACTGAGATAATATTTATTAGGCATATATGTGAGACACTATGCTAAACACTGGAAAAACAAAGAAGAAATAAAGCAATATCTGCCCTCAAGAAGCTTACAAAGCCTACCAACATAAAATTTTCCTGTATTTCTAGCTTTCTGGAGAAAAACACATGAAAAATATTAGGAGAATTTTTACTAAAATATCCTTTGCCCCAGGCATGCCCTTCTACATATACTATTATTTTTCTATTGTGATAACTGAAAACTTCCAAATATCCAAGAACTTATAGACAGATAACTATCATATGGCAGAGATGTTCAACTACTTCAAAAGTGATACCAACTACTTGAGTAAGATTTCTGGATTACTACAGCTCATCAGAATAATGCCAGCAATATTTGACAGTTTGGCATTTCAATAAGGGCCATGTACATGTTGTTGGAAAAATGGTCAGAATCCTCCAAAAAAGCTGATCAAAGTACAGAGAGAGAAACAAGTGATAAATAATTAAGAGTTGTGGATTCATAAGAACTCTAGATTAAAAAAAAAACCTGACAAAATATTTCATTAACCTGTGTCAAAGAAAATTAAAGAAAGAGGACTGAACAATATACACAGACAGACCCTTCAGCACTGCAAAAGATGCTAAATCTTAAGGAGTTAATTGGTGCTATAATCAATAGGATCATAGAACTGGAAATGATCCAGATTACAGTGTTCAACTTCCTCAGACAAGGAAATTGAGGCCCAGAGAGAAGTGACCTGTTTAAGGTTATATATGGAATAAGCAGTAGAATCAGCATTTAAATACAGATTCTCTTGACTGCAAATTCACTTGGTCTACAATATATTCCTGCCCCTGTCATTTTGCTAGAAACAAAGAATTTTAGACAGAAAAGATTTTGATTTTTGACTTAACAAATCTTAGTTTCCCTCTCTCATGATTTAAGTCTTTTCAAACACTTAAAAATACAGAGATCTAAAATAAAGTCAGAATTTTGTTTCCTGGGTAATTTTACCTCTCCCCCCAAGTTATTTTTTTTAATAGAAAAGACTATAGATTCCCTATTTTCTGAATCAAGAAGAGATTCTGATAGGCACAGCTTCATCCACACCAAAGTCAAAAGAATTGTTAATTACTTGGACTTTCAGTAATAAAGTTTAGTTTTTCCTAAAACTTTTTGAAATGTTCCTCTAGCATAAAGACACTTACCTTTCCTGGCCAAGGAGGATACCTGCCCAGCTTCCCCCTAAACAAAAAGCAAAGAGTCAGCTACTTATACTCGAAAAGCCTGCCCATCCACTTCAACCCACCTTGCCTATAATTTAGCTCCCAAATCTATGTCCACACCTTCTAAGTCCAAGAACAAAGCTTACAATCCTCTCTACACGAGACTTCCCTCTTCTCTTTCAAAGTGCAGTTGTACTGTTTCAAACGAAGCCTTCTTAGTATCAAGAAAGGAATCATACAAGCCAGTAGCAGCAACAGTAAATCCTTTTTTCTCTGGCAGTCCAGGGGCCACGAGGGGAGGATAAGAACATACAGCGATCCCCGCCAGGCTCAGAGCGCACAAGAGAAGTCCCTCCCCCCACTATTTCTTCATAGAACTGAGCCAACGGTCCGGTTTCAACACCACAGTCAGTTGGTCCCCGCAGAGTCGCCGCCGCTGCGGTTCGGTCCGGTTACTTTGTTGCGCAGCTAGATAAAGACCTGTCCCACCAAACGAGCCGCAGGGCTTGGACACCTGGATCTCCCTGCCAGAGAGTCCCGACTCGACCCCTGGGACACGGTGACCCGAACAACGTACGGTCTGAGCTCACCCCATGGCACCAGCTGGCTCCGGCAGCGCCCCACTGGCCGCACTCTTCCCCTTCCAAACCGGGCGCCCGGAGAGCCTTCGCAGCGGGGCCTCGGAACGAAGCGGCAACCCATTGAGACCACCCTCTGCCTCCGGCAACTCCCCCTCCCCCCAAGGCCGGGCTGCCCCTTCCGTCCGGTGCCTCTCCCCACCCCAGCGCCCCCTCCCTAGGTGCCGCCTCCGACCCTCATCTCTCTCCCTCCCTCGTTGCCAGCACCTAAAGGGAAGCCAGAAAACTCAGAGCCTCCGGGGCTGGGCTCGGGGTCTGTAGCTTGGGGCAGAGACCCAATGTTCCCTGCTTCCCCCATCTTCCCGAAAGGGCCCTGCCGCTACTCACCATACCAAGTCTCCGAGCCGCAGACTCACAGTCGCCATCTTACCGACTTAACCACCCACAGCGCACGGGCTGCCGGGACTTCAGGCCGCCTCGGTGCCGCCCATTGGCGTGGCTCTTTCCACGTGACAGGGGCCGGCTGTCATTCCCACGCTGCTCCGTGACGCCACCGCGTCTCCAAAAGGCATTGGGTAGTTTGGAGGCACGTGACCTCAACGCCGGGCCTCCGCGCGCCGAGCCCCTAGACTTCCCGTTACCCCTCCCCCCTTTTTCCACTGCCCCCCACCCCCCCCTCCTCCGGCGCGTGATAAGCGAGCGCCCCCCGAACCGTGACGGCTGTAGCTGAGAGGACGGGATCGTAACGGGGGCGGCTACGACTGTGGGGACGCACGGAGCCGAACAGCTGACAGATCCGGCCGCGCGCCTTGCCCCGCCCCCCCGGCAGCGCCGGTAACCCTCCCCCGCCCAGGGCCCCGGGACAGCAGTTTTCCCCCCTTCCGTCCGTTACGGCCGTTGGTCTCGTTGCGCCCCATCCCGCACCCCATCCCCCGCCCCCACCCCCGCGGCTCCTGGGGCCGTCCCCTCTCTGTCCGGACAGAGCCCGAGCCTGAATCCTTGCTCTTTCCCCAGCCCATCACTGGGCCGGTCCGCGGCTTTCGCCATAGGAGTCCCTGGACGGAGCCTTGGACTCGTGCCCTCTGTGCGGCCTGGAGTCTGGTCCTTAGTCTGCACCTGCGCCTTCGGCTGTCCCCGGCCTGGGGTGGGTTGGGGACTGTGTTCTGCGCTCCTTACGTCAATGTAGCAGCTCCTGTGCCCGGGGCGGGGGAGGCTGCTGGGGTCACTGCTCCCCCTAGGGCTCGGGATGAGGCGACCCGTCTTGTAACTAGCGCTCGGAGATGCTGCCTACCCCCTGGCCTAGGAGCCCCGCGTGGGCTGTGTCCGGCTGTGCAGAGCGCCCCTCGGCACCTCGCTTAGTTTGGAGCACCATGCTTCCTGGGGCGACCAGTGCCTCTCGAGCCACCTTAGCCACGCTGCAAAAGCCCGCAACAGCAACTTTGCAACGATAACTGGAAGTCTTCCTGTTTTCTCTTTAGTTGTTTCAGGTGTCTTGAGGGCATTTCTTCTGAAAGGGCTTTCTTAGGACTCGCCAACTCTGGGAATGGGCATTGAGGCTAGATGGGCAGCACGTTTGTAGGCATGCTGCAAGACCCAACGGACAGACAAAGTTGTGGCATATGGGTCTCACCCCATCATGAGGAAAGCCGGCTGGAGATCAGGTCCATTTCAAGGTGCTATATCTCAGAACGGCACTTGTGACAAAGGTGTGTTTCATTTTTGTTTGATATTATTTTGTAAGTGGTATGTTCTGTAACCTCAAACTGACTTTAGAAATAAAATCTGTTACAAAGGGGAGGAGTTAAAATGTAGTTAAATATAATCCAGAATTGTAACTAAAACAACTCCTATGGACTATCCAAATTCTATTTTGTACTGGAATTTTGTTGTATTATTCCTGGAAATGAGTAAATGGGTGATGTTTTGGGGATTTAGTGACCTTGTTATGCAGATTTTCTTGTAATGTTTGATGTAATGAGGTGTTATCTGTATGTGCAATAACCTAGATCATCTTTGGAGATTAGTTTTTCTGAAGTGATTTAATTCAAATATATGTAATTTAATTTTTCATAAGAAAATTTTTTGTAAGAATTATAAATTTTTTTTTGAGATTGTAGGCTGTTTTTAAGGTTGTTATCTAGGTTTGACCTGATTTTCTCTTTTACATTGACAGAAGCCATTGCAGTAGCCACTGCCAAGACTTGAGTGTAGCCATGACTGAGCCCCACAGGGTCCAGTTTACCTCTCTCCCAGGCCCTCTGAATCCTACATTTCTGAAGAAACCCCGAAAAGAGGAGATTGGGGGAGCAGAGCAGCACCAGGACTCTGAACCCACTGCAGCAGCTGTTCGAATCACACTTACCCTCTTCGAACCAGATCACAAGCGCTGTCCGGAGTTCTTCTACCCAGAGCTAGTGAAGAATACAAGGGGTAAAGTGAAAAGTCTTCAAGTTGGAGACAAGGTACACTTACTTCATACTAGCATGTCATTCTATTGAACTTTCCAAAGAGTCAAAAGGGTACAAATATAGTATTCACAAAATTCTGCCAGGCAAAAAATAAAATTAAAGTGGTTCTAGCTTTGTACAAGATCATATTATCAAGTTAAAAATAAGAACTAGGCTTGTTGCCATATTTGTTGAATTAGGACTAAAGCTACAAACTTTAGTCTCTCAAGGACACTAGAATACTTCTCTGCCAAGTTGTTCTAGGAAAAATGTGAGAGATGACTTGGGCTAATTTAAGTTGTCTGGTTAAAGATAAGTGAAAAAGAAGAGATAGGGACAGAAGAAATCTTCTATGTTGAGCCTGTAAAAGTTGAAGTAATATGGTATAGTGGAAAGAGCTCTAGACTTGGAATCAGGAGACCCAGGTTTAAATCCCATCTCTGACACTTAATAGTGAACTGTGAACATTACTTAGACTGCTCTAAGGCTCATTTTCTTCAACTGTTTTCTGAGATCATCTTATAGCTCTTCTCCTTTTTACAATTCAGTTTCTTGAAAAGGCTGTTTGCACTCATTCCTTTCCTTTTTCAACCTCTTGCATTGTAGCTTCCAATCTCGAATTATCAATTTGTAACTGTTTTTTCTAAAGTTGCTGTTGATCTTTTAGTTGCCCATTCTAATGGTCTTTTCTCAGTCCCCTTTTTTCTTGAATGCCATGTAGCATTTGACACTGTGACTACCCTTTCTTTGTGGATTCTCTCTCCTGTCTATATTTTCATGGTACTGATTTTTCTTGGTGCTCCTACCTGTCTGGCCACTTCTCAGCAAAGGTCTGAGTTGTCATACATATTTCATTTCCTAACTGTCTTGAGTTCTCTTCTTTTTTCTTTTTTTAGTTTTTGTTTTAGGCAATTGGGGTTAAATGACTTGCCCAGGGTCACACAGCTAGTGTCCAGTGTCTGGTCTGAGGCAGGATTTGAACTCAGGTCCTCCGACTCCAGGGCCAGTACTCTATCCACTGCACCACTTAACTACCCCTTGAGCTCTCTTCTATGCTCTCTCACTTGAGACCCATTGTTTTCTCTCTGAAGTTGACTCCCGATTTTATCTCATCTCTCTCTTCATCCCACATCACCAACTATCTGTTAAACATTAAGGTTTTCACTTTCTGTCCCATTAGCCATGTTTGGTATCTTTGGAAGCATCATCATTTCTTCATTCTCTGTCACCTGGTGGCCTCCTGCCCCCCATTATTGAGGCTTGTCAGTTTCCTCCACAGTGTATTTCACATCTGTCTTCCTCTCTCTCCACTCAAAGCCACTACTTTTGTTAAGGCTTTCATCATATCTTTCCTGGACTACTTCAGTAGCCTCCTAATTGGTTTCCAAGTTTTTAGTCTCTTCTCTTACCAATCAGTCCTCCACGTAGTTGCAAAATCAACATTCCTAAAGCACATGTCTCACCATGTCACTTCTCTTTCTTAGAAGTTCAGATGGTTTCTAGTGTCACTATGATAAAATACAAACTCTTCTGGCATTTAAAGCACTTTGTAACCTGGTTCTAGCTTGGCTTTCTAAACTTATTATTTCCTTCATGCACTCATTCCAGCCAAATTGACTTACTTGCTTTTCTTTATTCTTAGCATTCCATCCCCTACCTGGAAGCTTTTGCATAGCCTTTCCCCAAGTATACAGTGCACTCCCTTCTCAGAGATACCTCTTAGAATCCCTACCTCCCTTAGCTCTAGTGCCACTTCCTCCATGAGGCCTTTCTGATTTCCTCCCAATCTTGCTGCTAGTTCCTCTCCTCCATCTCCCCAAATTATCATGTATATGTTGGTATTTGCTTTTCTATGTTCATATGTTCACCCAATAGAATGGAAAGTCCTTGAGTGCAGGACTAACTTGGTTTTTGTCTTCATATTCCCAGTGCTTGTTGATTGATTGCTTGTTAAATTGGGGATAAGACCTTTACTACCTATCTTACAGGGTGATCTTGAGTATCAAATGAGATATGTAAAATATTTTGTAAACTCAAAGTGTTTCATGTAATCCCCCTAACAACTAACTATTTTTAGAAGTTCCCTTTTTATCTGTTCTGGCTTCCATTTGGAAAAAGTGTCTGCTTGGTGTGGGGACAGAGAAGAGAGGGCAAAAATCTTAACTCTTCCCTAACCATATAAGTACGTTGGATAAGTCTTTCCTTGGATAGTTATAAATCTTCTGTGTTTCCAGAATTGTAACTTTCAGGAACTTTTGTTCCCATAATAATTCTTAAATACTTGTTAAAATTGATAGAGTACTTGAAATATCCTAAACTTTTTGGTATAATAATATCCTTGGGGCCCATGATATGGAACTGCCTTGTAGGTTAATCCTTATGATGAGGTTCTTTTGATAGTCCAGTTAGTGAATCTTCTTGGTTTGGAGTTCGTGTTCAACTTACCATATTATTTTTTACTTCGTTAATGTATTATAATTCACTTCTCTTGTATAATATTCTAGAATGTCAGTATCTTCAAAAGTTAAAACCATGTAAACTTTGAAGATTTTGGTAGGAAATCCAAAAGGAGACCTACCAAGTGTATAAAATCTTGCAAAAATTATCTATCTTAGGTATTTCCTACATGTGCTATATTTATATTTTCCTTCTTTTTAAAAAAATTATTGATATATTTTATTTTTGCATCACCTTAATTTCCATATATATTCCTTTACTATACCTTGTAAGTAAGAATTTTTTTTAATTAAAAAAAGATTAGTTCAGTGAAACAGCATACCAAGTCTGACAGTATATTCACTGTTCCATCCCCACAGTCTCTTTCCAAGGAAGGAAAGCAAGTATGTTTTCTCTTCCTTCTCCAAGTTCAAGCTTGGCTTTGACTTCCTTGGGGTATATATGCTGAGCAGTGGTATCTCTGGGTCAAATTGTATGAATACTTTTATCTTTTTTTCTCCAAAAAAATCTAAATTGCTTTCTAGAGTGGTTGCACCCATTCACAATTTCACCAAACAGTACATTAATGTGCCTGTATTTCAAAAGCCTATTCAGCATTGACAACTTCTGTCTTTTGTCATCTTTGCCAGTTTACTAGGTGTGAAGTGAATCCTGAGTTGTTTTGATTTAGATTTCTATTATTAGTGATTTGGAGCAAATTTTTCATATAGTTGTTAGTAGTTTGCAATTCTTTTGAGAAATGTTTGTGCCCTCTAACCACTTATCCATTGAGGAATTGTTCTTGGTTTTATATATTCGTATTAAGTTCCTATGTATCCTGGATATCAGACCTTCGTAAGAGATACCTGATGGAAAGAAACAAAAAATTCACTTGATAGGCCTGTGAAATAGGTTTGGAATGGAAATAGACATTGGACATGAGAGAATGTCATGAATCAGAGGATAGATGTAACATTTAATAGTACTGAGAACCAGATGTACAAATGTAGCCTTTCTAAAAAGAAGATAGTGATACAACATCCCTGAGTAGCTCTAAAAAATTATTCCTGTAATCTGATTGAAGGTGCTTTACCATTAGCCTTTTTCTTTTATAAATTCTGATTTAAGAAAACACCAAAAAACCTCCCACTTATTTACATATATAAAGCAAAACACAAGAAGAGAATTATATATGCAGCTGTGAAGCTGTTTTAAAATACTTGCTTTTTCGGGGCATCTAGGTGGTGAATAGAACTCTGGCCTTGGAGTCAGGAGGACCTGAGGTCAAATGCAGGCTCAGATACCTAATACTTACTAGCTGTGTGACCCTGGGCAAGTCACTAAACCTCGATCGTCTCACCAATCCCCCCCCCAAAAAAACCCCTTGCTTTTTCAAAGAAGAATATCATAAATTCATTTCATTATCTTTTTAAAAATAGATTTTTCTTGATATCTCTGTCCTTCCCCCTACTCAGGAAGTCATTATAACAAAGAGAAGAAAATTTAGTAAAACTGTTAATATATCAAAAAGATGGCATGCATTCTGAATACCCCTTCCCCTAGTCTGCCTTCTCTTCTATCTCTCCCTCCCCTTCTCTTATCCCCTTCCCGTTCTATTTTCATGTAGAGCAGGATGGACTTCTATATCCCATTTCCTGTATTTCTTATTTCCTAGTTGCATGTGAAAACATTTTTTTTAAATATGTGTTTTTAAAACTTTGAGTTCCAAATTTTCTCCTTCCTCCCCACCCACCCTCATTGAAAAGGCAAGCAACTCAATATAGGTTGTACATGTGCAGTTACGCAAAACACTTCCATAGTAGACAGGTTGTGAAAAACTTAACTCTATTTCCCTTAATCCTATCCTGCCCTCCCATTTATTCTATTCTTTCTTTTAACCCTGTCCCTCCTCGGAAGTATTTACTTCTGATTACCCTCTTTCCCAATCTGCCCTCCTCTCTGTCATCCCCCTGCTCTCTTGTCCGCTTCTCCCCCTATTTTCCTGCAGGGTAAGACAGATTTCTGTACCCAATTGAATGTGTATGTTATCCTCTCCTTAAGCCAAATCCTATGAGAATAAGATTCCCTCATTCCCTCTCACCTTCCCCCATTTCCCCTCCACTGTGAGAGACTTTTCTTTTCTGTTTTTTTGTGAGATAATTTACCCCATTCTACCTCTCCCTTTCTTCTTCTCCGAGTATCATCCTCCCTCATCCCTTAATTTTATTCTCCAGATATGACCCCTTAATCTTCAACTCACCCTGTGCCCCTTATCTATATCTATCTATATATACATACATATAATTTTTTTCCTTCAACTACCCTAATACTGACAAAGTTCTCATGAGTTACAAATATCATCTTTCCATGCAGGAATGTAAACAGTTCAATCTTAATAAGTCTCTTATGATTTCTCTTTCCTGTTTACCTCTTCATGTTCCACTGAGTCCTGTATTTGAAAGTCAGATTTTCTATTCAGCTCTGGTCTTTTCATCAGGAATGCTTGAAAGTCCTCTATTTCACTGAATGACCATTTTTTCCCCTGAAGGATTATACTCAGTTTTGCTGGGTAGGTGATTCTTGGTTGTAATCCTATCTCCTTTGCCCTCTGGAATATTATATTCCATGCCCTGTGGTCCTTTAATGTAGAAGCTGCTAAATCTTGTGTTATCCTGATTGTGTTTCCACAGTACTTGAATTGTTTCCTTCTGGCAGCTTGTAATATTTTCTCCTTGACCTGGGAACTCTGGAATTTGGCTACAATATTCCTAGGAGTTTTCCTTTGGGGATCTCTTTCAGGAGGAGATCTGTGGATTCTTTCAATTTCTATTTTGCCCTCTGGTTCTAATATATCAGGGCAGTTTTCCTTGATAATTTCTTGAAAGATGATGTCTAGGCTCTTTTTTTGATCATGGCTTTCAGATAGTCCAATAATTTTTAAATTCTCCAGGTCAGTTGTTTTTCCAATGAGATATTTCACATTGTTTTCTAATTTTTCATTCTTTTGGATTTGTTTTACAGTGTCTTGATTTCTCATAAAGTCACTATCTTCCAATTGCTCTATTCTAATTTTTAAGGAAGTATTTTCTTCAGTAATCTTTTGGACTTCCTTTTCCATTTGGCCAATTTTTCTTTTTAGGGCATTTTTCTCTTCATTGGCTTTTTGGACCTCTTTTGCCATTTGGGTTAGGCTATTTTTTAAGGTGTTATTTTCTTCAGTATTTTTTTGGGTCTCCTTTAGCAAGCTGTTGACTTGTTTTTCATGATTTTCTTGCATCACTCTCATTTCTCTTCCCAGTTTTTCCTCTACTTCCCTTACTTGCTTCTCAAAATCCCTTTTGAGCTCTTCCAAGGCCTGGGACTGATTCATATTTTTCTTGGAGGCTTTGGATGTAGGAGCTTTGACTTTGTTGTCTTCTTCTGGTTGTATATTTTGATCTTCTTTTTCACCAAAGTAAGATAATATAGTCTGACTCTTTTTGCACTGCTTGCTCATGATCCCAGCCAGTTACTTGAGTTTTAAACTCTTTAAGGTAAGAGTCTGCTTCCAATGTGGACAGTGTGCTGTCCCAAGCTTCAGGGGTTTGTATAGCTGTTTTCAGAGATACTTGTAGGGACCTGTAATTTTTCAGTTCTCACAAGGTGGTATGATAAGGGGCAAGGTGTTTACTCCTTTCCTGGCCTGTGACTATGAGTACTCCTTTCTGTCCCTTAACTGTGAGGAGGGGTTCCTCTCTACAGCCACTACAAGCTCCACCACGTCAGCTCTCCTCCTCACCCCAGCATGGCTGCCCAGAACTGTGACCCAGATCCACACGGGCAAAGCAAGAGATTCCTGCCTTACCACTGGCAAAGAGATCCCTGCAATCCGTCTCTGATCAGCCACTGGATTCCCCCTCAGTCTGTGGGCCGGAAGCTTGGGAAGCAGTGATTCTCCCCCCCCCCCGGCCACGCTCTTGGGGAATGGAGCTGAAACCCCGTCTTCCTCTATGAGCACTGCAGAAACAGACTTTTCCCACTGACCTTCTAAGTTGTCCTTGGCATTCCTGGATTGAGGAGTCTGAAAACCTCCACAGCTGTCCAAGATTCAGCCCTCTGAGGCCTGCTCCAGGTTTGCTGCGGCCTGCGCTCCCAGCCCGGCGCGATACACCTTTCTGATCAATCATCCAGGTTGTCTTGAGCTGGAAATTTGTTTCACTCTGTCTTTTTGTGGGTTCTGATGCTTCAGAATTTGTTTAGAGCCATTTTTTTTGAGTATTTGGAGGGGTTTGGGGGAGAGCTTAAGCAAGTCACTGCTTTCACTCTGCCATCTTGGCTCTGGCCCCCCCCCCCGTTTATTCTTTATATAATTTCATGATGTTAATTTTTGCTAGTTTTATGGTGGTTCTTTCTACTTACATTGTTGTAGTCATTATGTATATTCAGCTCATTACTTTCAAAACTGGCCTGCATGTCCTTTTCCTTCTGAACTTTCTTCTTCTCTGCACTTTAAAAAAATGCTTCAATGACTCTCCTCTTTTTTATTTTTTTCTTTTGGTGGGGGGGGAGGAGTGCAGTGGATCACCATTACTACCCCTCTCCTAATTAAAAGCAGGGAAAAAATCCTTGAAACAAATAAGCATTTTCAAAAAAATGAATCCATGTATGTGGATTGTATGTCTTCTTTCCCAACTTGAGTCTGTCACATCTCAGGAAGTGGGTAGCATATTTTGTCATAAGTCTTCTGGAGGATAGTTGGTTGGTGTGTTGATTAGAGTTAAGTTTTTCAAAGTTTTTTTCCCCCCTTGTACAACGCTGACATTGTATAAATTGTTCTGGTTCTGCTTACTTCACTCTGCATCAGTTCTTTCTTCCCAGGATTATCTGAAGTGATCTTTGTCATTTCTTGTGATACATTTCCAGTACATTCATATACAACAATCTCTTCAGCCATTTCTAGTTGATGGGGACTCCTTTAGTTTCCATTTCTTTTAGTCACTTCTGCTTCAGGAAGTTTTGTGTTTGTGACCATTCCTGACTCAGTATTATCATTTCTCCTAGCCTTCCCTCTTCGCTATCCCTGCCTGTTTCCATGTTGAGTGTGGTATAGTTCTTTGTGGGTTTTTGTGTGCACACAGATATTTAGCCCTCCTTTTGTCTGGTTCAGATAAGAGTGAGATTCATCTGATGTCTTCTCCCTCTACCCTTTCTGCCATGTTTCTATACTTTTCTTCTTATCACTCCAGTTATTAAAAAAAAGCAAGTTCTCCATTGTTCTTCCTTTCTATACTACTATATTCCTTTTACCCTCCTTTTTTCTCTATTCTATTCTCTATTCTATTGAATAGAATCAATCCACTCCCAGGTCCTCCTTTTCTTAATAAATTCTGCCAATGCCTTTGAAGGTTCTGAACTGACACTTGTTTCTTCTTCTCCTATTGGATTAACACTGTTTCATCCCATTGCCCCTTTCACATCCTCAAATAAATTTACCTTTCTAGGTTTCTTTTGATTCTTGCATTTGTATTGAAAAGTTCTTACTCATCTCTGTTCTTTTAATTAGGTATGCTTGAAAGTCCACTATTCTACTAAAGGTCCATTTTCCCCACTGTAAGATTATACTTTACTTTACCTGGCAAATTATACTTGGTTGTAAGCCCACCTTTTACCTTTTGGAATAATTGTATTCTAAGGTGTAGTTCCTTGGTCCTGGAACTCCTTTGTGGATGCTTGGAGTATTTTTTCTTTGACCTGGAAGCTCTGGATTTTGACTGTGATATTTCAAGGACTTTCCTTTTGAGGTTTCTTTTAAGAAGTGATCTGTGGATTCTTCCTGTTTTCACTTTTATCTCTGGTTCTAATTCATCTGGTCTTGTTTTATTTAGTTTATGATTTTTTGAAATATAACATTCAGGCTTTGTGGTTTTCAGGGAATGTCATGATTCTTAAATTACTTCTCCTTATTCTGTTTTCCAGGTGAGTGATTTTTGATGCCAGAAACCTTATTATTTTCTTCCTTTTTTTGCCCTCTGGTCTTTTGATTTTGTTTTAATATTTCTTGCTTTTTATGGAGTCATTAATTTTTTTTGTTTGGTTCATTCTCATTTTCAGGGAGTCCATTACTTTTGTAAGATTTTGGACCTCCTATAGCAAATTGTTTTTCTATTTCAGTTTTCCTTTAGAGCTTTTATTTCATTTTTTATTTCTTGTTTAATCTAGGTATTTATGTAGTCCTTGTGGAAAATCCATTTTCCCCCCTATGGGTTAAGGAGTTACTCTTTCCTTCTAGGTTGTATTTTTAGCTGTCTTTGGATCTGTTGAATTATAGTGGTCAGTATCTTCTTTGGTTTACTTGTTGATTCAGACTTAGTTCCTGAATTGGTACTTTGTGCCAAGGCCAGGCTTTTTTCCCTGCTGTGCTTTTGGTTAAGGTAGTCATCTTGCTTGGTTTCAACCAGGATCACCTAAGTTTCTGAGCCAACCTCTACCTCCAAAGTTTAGGTCCTTCTAGGATCCTTGAGAGAGATCTTCAGAGCACACAATGACATCTCAAGACAGAGTGCTAGGGACCTTGGAGCTTTGACTGTCCTAGTCATTCCTGCTTCTTGTGGTTTCCAAGATCCGTGCTGTGTGTTTGCAGTCATCCTGGGACTTTTTTTGGGAGTGCTCCCTGTTCTTTCTGCTTCAAGATACAGATCCTTACAGGCTACAATTTTCTATTTCCTAGCTCTGATCCCACTGTGGGAGGCTTTTAGTTTGTTTGCCTAGTCTGGCTTGTTTGTTATGACCTTTTATTACTTGCTGTGATCTTCTCACTGACTTTTTATACAGTTTTGGGGAGGCTGAAGTCACTGTAGTTTCTCATTAGATTTACTGATCATTTTTCAGTCTGATGCTATATATGGGTTTTTGCTGGAGTAGATATGTGAAAGCTGGGTGCTTTGCCTCAGTTCAGGCAGCCATCTTGGCCAGAAGTCTGTTAATCATTTCCAATACATGCCATGCACAAAGTGGATACCCCTTTGGATGGGTAGTCCTTACTGAATTGAAATTATTCTTTTCAGTATCACCAATATGAGTGGCAACAGCATTATAAAATCTAATCTATTATTCCTTTTTGGAAAAGTAGTTCTTAATTAATTGACTAGTCAGTACTCTCTAAGTTACAAAGAAGATTCTATGAACTGTATTTGTCCAACTTTTTTCCATAGAAGAAAGATGTCTTGGACCCTTTCAATGATGAAGAAAAGGAAAGGCATAAGGTGGAAGCTCTTGCTCGGAAATTTGAGGAGAAATATGTAAGTCTCCCCTGTTAGGCTAAATTAACTTTTTTGAGGGAAGAAGAGATTCTCTGGGGGCTTATGATATAAGATGATGTGAATATAGAAAAGCAAGTATAGAACAGAATGAAAATATTAAACCATTGTATCCATGATTTGTAAAATACACATTTCTTGTGGGAAATATTCATTATAGCTAAACTAGAGAAAGAAGGAAATTTTTTGATCATTTAGAATCTTAAAGCTAGTAAGGACTAGAAGATATTATTTGGTTTATTCCTTTCCTTTAAACTGCTCTGTGGATTTAAAAAAAATCTGTCATGCTTTAAAATATCTTCAAGGAAGGGAATTTTGTAACCTCTTTTGGTAACTAATATTTAGCAATTCTTAGTTATTAGTTATGACATAAGGTGGTACCAGTCAATTACAAGAATATTTAGAAGAGAGGTTGTTATGAATGATCTTCTTTTATTTTAGGGTGGAAAAAAGCGCAGGAAGGACAGAATGCAGGATTTAATTGACATGGGTTATGGGTACGATGAATCCGATTCCTTCATCGATAACTCTGAAGCAGTGAGTATTCAATGAAAGTGATAACAGAACTTGAACCCTCCAGATACTAATAATAAATACTTGGAAATTCAGGATTATGGGAACAGAGTGGGTATTCTGACCAAGAACATAGCAGTTTCATGAAGGAGGAACAGTACTTCCTCTGGGGGAACATAGGGGAATATCTTGTCATGCTGTCTCAGAATGAGAGACTGGCATTAATTTTTCTTGGATCTTTACATCCCTGAGATGTATTCACTAATAACTTATAGCTAACATTTTGTGGATTTCCCCCCTCACCAGTATGATGAGCTTGTTCCTGCTTCTCTGACCACAAAGTATGGAGGATTTTATATTAACTCGGGCACACTGCAGTTCAGACAAGCATCAGAGTCTGAGGATGACTTCATTAAAGAAAAGAAGAAGAAATCTCCTAAGGTTAGAAATTCGCTTTTTAGAGATGTTTTGTTATGTAAAATTCTCAGAAAATGAGTTGACTTTGCCAAAAGGAAATGTGAAGTTCTAGAAAGACCATTTGAGTTCTTAATGCCTCAGGAAATTGGTTGTAAATAGTTGCTAGTTTAGATCCTGCCTGGTTGGCAGTGACTGATGTTCCACCTCTCATGCCTATTCAATGATAAATGAGCTGAGTTGGATTTTGGAGCTGTTAGCTTCTGTTAGTCAGGTGTCCATATCACAAAGTTTTCCTGTCAAAATTGGTACTGACATTTCAACAAAGTCACCAGTGATTGGGCCTTGAAGATGGATCCCTCAGGGTAGTCGTTTTTGAGGCAGGGCTGAGATTCATAAAAGGTGTGGAGCTAGGGAAGTTTGCACTACCCATGCTGTATCTGTTCTGTGGACATGTAGAGGACTTCAGTTCCCAGGGCTGTCAACCCAGTTCTTTTTATCAGCCCTAAGATATTTTTTAAAAATTACCTTTACATATATACATTAATATGTATATTTTAGAAAGTTTTTTGGGGTAAATACATACATATGGGCTTTTCTTGTATTTTGTCCTTTTAGGACACTCATTTCAACCTGAGGGGGTTCCTCTTGAAGGGTTAAGGAAATACCGCACTGTTGCCTCAGTCCCAGGCTTTTCCAGCAGACATTGTCAACAGGATTATTTTGTTGACTTGCTGCGGGTTTGTGGTATAGAATCTTGTTGTCCAGGGACTGATCTGAAAAATCACTGTTGATGAAGGACATGAGGCTGGTTTCAGAATGTGTCCTGGGAGGAGCAAGGCCAGTGCTGTGTAATGCACTTGCTCCCTGAGTTAGGGAGCTGTGTAACTGTGCCTTGTCTTTAATTCTCAGAAGCGGAAGTTGAAAGAAGGTGGTGAGAAGATAAAGAAGAAGAAAAAAGATGACTCTTATGACAAGGAGAAGAAATCGAAAAAGTCCAAGTTTCCCAAAGCCGGGTGAGAGGCAGCAGCTTGTGTTTGATAGGATAAAATTTGAAATGTTAGGGCTAGACACCTGGGAGCTGACTTACCCCTCTTCCACACAGTATCAGAAGAAGCAGCAGGGACTGACCTTCCCATCCTCTCTCACCCCTCCCTACAGTGTCATTTCTGGGCATATTCAATACTCTCCCGTCTCTGTGTGGTCAGGTATCCAAAGTTGTATTTGTTACACTGTCAGTGTTAGCATCTATTTCTGTCTAGATGATTGCTAATGTTTCTTATTCTCTTTGGGCAGTTCTCTGTCTTTGGCCCAATTCCGTTTCTGTCTTTCCTGTTTTCCTTTGTCTCTTTTCTGGTCATGCTTACTTCTCCTCACTCAATCTCACCCCTAGATGCTTCACCAGTTGCTGCTGTTCTCTGCTGCTTCAGCTTTCCACTTTTAAATCTCTCTCTTGATTTCTTTTGCAACCTTTTATTTCAGCCTGGCAGTGGTTTAAAAAAAAACCATCGGATATTAGCATTATGTGACATTGTTTTGCTAACCTGTGTTAAATTTTAAGCTTTGGTCTCAGGAAGAAGGAGCTCCATTTGCCAGGAGGAGGGAGGAGGATAACAGGGTGGACTTTTGACTGTGAGGTCCACGTGGAGACTGTTGAGTCTGGGAGCAGGTGTGGAGTGCCTCTGTGCGTTTCCCTTTGGGGGTTTTTTGCAGCCATTGTAACCTGTTTCTTCTTTGCTTTCAGCTTCACAGCACTGAATGCCAGTAAGGAGAAGAAGAAAAAGAAATACTCTGGAGCTCTAAGTGTTAAGGAAATGTTAAAGAAATTTCAGAAGGAGAAAGAAGCTCAGAAGAAGAGGGATGAGGAACATAAGCCAATAACAGTGTCACCTGCTGAAACTCAGAGTACACGGGAGGTGGAAAGCATGCCAGATCCCTTGCTCTCATTCTTTGGCTCTGCTTCTGACAATGACCTGCTTCAGGCAGCTACTGCCATGGACTCACTGACTGATCTGGACTTAGAACAGCTCCTCAGTGAGTCTCCAGAAGGAAGTCCATTTCATGATGTAGATGATGAAAGTGATTCTCTTGGGGTAGGATTGGACCAGGAATTCAAACAACCCCCTTCCCTGCCAGAAGGACTGCCAGTGTCCCTGGAGAAACGTATCAAGGAGCTGGCTCAGGTATGGTGACCAAATGTAATTATAATTAAGGTTATGCCAGCTTCACAGAAAGCACTGTATCTTTAGTAACCCTAGTGAGATATCAGTTTTAGCTGTTTTTTAGATTTATTTTTCTTCATTCTTGGGCATGAGGCACAGTATAAGCTTTATCTTTCAGTCTTAAAATTCTTTTAAATGTCAGTTTAAATTATTCCTAGACCCTTTTGTATTGGTAAATTTGCAAGCCAGTTTTTGTTGCCATGTTGCTTCCCCTCCATCTGTGTATTCTGTCACTTCCTTTACCACAAGGTGTCTGCTCCTTTCTATAGTAGGCTTCTCCTTCTTTTGGCATGAGGTATTCTGCAACGTTTCACACTGAATTTTATAGCATTATCCTGCAGAATGAATCCCACTACTACCTTGAATTGCTTATTGAGAGTGATAGGCATTTAGTCCATTGGTATAAAAATGCAAAGGGGATGTGCATGGACATTGTGATAACCTTTCTATCGACAACCTCTTTATGAATTTAGTGTCTTGAGATGATAGAATGCTGAGAGGCTTCATTTTATTACACCATAAAAACAATTTTAAGAATCTAGCATCCATTAGATTTCTGCTATTTTTCCCCAAAAACTGAGAGGACATCCTCTATAAAGTGAATTTTTGTAAGTTCAGTAACATGTTACTGAAGTTATAATTACACGTGAGCCATTAGGCATTTTGGCTGTAACATATCCAGTGTTTATATTCATTGTAAACTTCAGACTATATATTTAAGTTGAAGAAAAACCCTTCATCTTCAAAGAAAAATTGAATATAAGGTATAAAGGTACTAAATCATACCTTTATATAAATACTTATCTCTATTAGTATTGTATAATAGAAGCTAGAATCTTTCATTGACATTTAATGATAAGAATAAATGATGTCATCATGGGTAGGTAGTCCTACCATATCTTAATGGCATCTAGTTGGAAGGAGATGATCCGAAATTGATGCTTTTGGCCTCAGTGTCTACATTTGCATTCAGATCACATGAGAATTCACATACTTTCCTGTTCCTTGCATTGGATAGCCTTGTAATAGGCTATCCTGAGGATTTGACATCTTGGAGTTAGAGTTTCATGGCCTCCTTTGGAAGTTACTCTGAATGAATTACTATGTTGTCACATGATATTGATTTACTGTGCTAAGATTTTTGCAACAGAATTCTTTTGTATTTATCACAAAGGCTTTAACTCAGTAAATGAAGTCTGTACAGCATCAACTAGTGGTTTCCACAGAAGGAATGAAATTGAATTCTTGAATTTTTTGCTTTTTTTCCATAAGCAAATTATGTTCTTATCAGATAAGTTATACTCATTACTTTATATTTCTTGGGAAACACTTTTGGGTAGTTACAATTGGAAAATGAAGCATATAGTGCTTATATATATATAAGTGCTCTTGGGTGGTGGTGCAGGAAACAGTTGTTTTTAAGGGGAAGGCTGTTGGGGAAACTTGTGTTTATGAAGTTGTCTTAATTTGTTGTTGGATACTTTTTGGTTCTTGTTAATATGTGTTGGAGGTAGAATGACGAGCGACAACATTAAGAAAATAATCACTAACATTTACATGTGGTACTTTAAGGTTTACAAAGCACTCTTTGTACATTAAATACGGTGGTTTGTGTCCTGATGGTGAGGAGGTGAAAGGGAGAGGCTTATATTTGATGTGATGGCATTTAATTTTGGAAGCCTGAAATAAAAACATCTGGAATTGCAGAGTCTTTTTTCTACCTCTGGTCAAAGAAACTTATTTTAGAAAATTAGAGACTTTTTTTTTTTAAACTGGGACATCAGGTTTGGATAAGGCAAATTGATGTCCGCAGATGGGGTCCTGACTCTTCTCATCTGTAAAGTGAGAGAGTTTGGCTTAGATGGCCCCTAAAGCCACTTCTAGTTTCAGATCCTATTCTTCTATGACCTTCCCAGCTAGTAGACCTTTCCCATATGATACATGATTTCAGATCTTAAAATGAACATTGCATTTTTGCATTGATCTTAATCTATTGATCATATGAAGCTTGCCATTTATAAATATATTGACATTTTATGAGTTCTTTTGCTTCTTTTACTCTTGCAGTGGTATTTTGGCAGATTTTTAGACTTGGTCAAAGAAAATTCATAAACTGGTCCTAATCTGATTGATGCACTTTGGTTTTCATTGCTCTGAGGAAAAAGGCAGCTTGGTCCAATCTATCTGTCTATCTATCTATATCTCTCTATCTCTCTATCTCTATATCTATCTATCTATCTATCTATCTATCTATCTATCTATCTACAGATAGATATAGACGTAGTAGGTTCACTTCCTGTTTTGGTTCTTACAGCTATGTGATCAAACTTTTAAAAAATGTCTCTAGTGTTTAACATAGGCTGGAAGGGAGATCATGAATCAGGAAAGATGACATTTTAGGTAGGCATTTGAGAAGTAAAGGTGAAGTGGGAAAACATTCTAGGCACAGGTGATAGTCTGAGCAAAGGCACAGCAATGGAGATGAAATGTCTGTAGGGAAACTGCAAGTAGACCAGTTTGTCTGAAATATAGAGTAAAGGGGGAATAATTTACTGCCCCCTTATTTACTCTATATTTCTGAGAGGAGACAAAAGTGGAACTCTTTCTTCATGTATAAAATTGGGATAGTAATAATTGCACCTCCTGCTTTAGAGATCTGTTTTTCTAGGAAAGTGCTTTGCAAACATTAAAGTACTATAGTAATCTGAGGTGGTTATTGATGTTCATGGGAAATAGTCTTAATTCTTAATATGAAGCAAGAATTAAATAAATTGCTTTAATGAGCAAACTAGATTACAGAAAAAAATTGATTATTGAACAGCTCAAAGGCTGTTGAAGGAAAGGCATGGCACATTTTTGTAATCTTTATTATATTCTTCTTACCTTCAATTTCTACTTGAGGTTGATGTAGAAGTTCTTAGCTGAACTTGGCTATTAACTCTGTACAGCTGAAAAAGGAATCCTTAGTGTTGATTCTGTGCAGTTTGTGGATCTCAGTGAGTCCAGGCATTTTGAGATGATGATCTTGCCTTTTAATTCAATTTATTTTCACTATATCAGCTCCACTTTGTTGGTACAGCCCCATTAATTGTTGCTAGTATTTAGAGAAGGAGAAAACAATGGTTTAGGAGTAATTCAGGCTGTCTTCTCAGGTAATGTCTTGATAAAGTTTTAGTGTGTTGGCAGTTCTACCTTGTACTTTCGGGTAACCTACTTATTGGACTTTTCAGTTTAGCATTAATGTTAAAAATGCCAAACACAGAGACTGAACAAAGTAAAGTGATTAAAACATTTTTTTTGAGCACTGAGAGAATTAAGCATCAGAAAAAAGTGTTATTTGGAGTTAATTATAAAAGCTCACAAATTTTTTAGAAGTATGGCTGTCCATGTTGAAACTAGTATTTCCTAAAGTTAATGATATAAACTATAGAAAGTTCATACAGTTAGAGTAAATTTTCATGGTCTGGGTATTCTGATTATTTTTCCCAGGTTATTGAAGGTTTGCCCATTTATGCATTTGTGGAGAAAAGATGGTTCTTAATAGACTTAGAAACCTGTCTTAATTTTGATGCTTTTTGTGAATTAATTCCTCTCTCAGATGCACATGAAAAGTAGATATAAGCATTTATCAACTACAGATAGAAATTAAAACCTAAAGGTAAAAACAAAATCCATAAAGTTTCACACAACTTTAAAAGTTCATGAGAGATGGGTGATACTGAAAAATGCGAGTATAATTAGAAATAATAAGCTGTATAAGTGGTTCCAGCTGGTAGTTGGAAAATACTTGTTAAATCAGATTTGGAGAGACATTCATAAAGATGGTATGGTAAAGCTGCTTTTTGATTATTTACTAGTGGAATAAACCTAAACTGTATGGAGTGAATTATTTTTTCCTACAAATTAAAGCTACAGTTTTTGTGGGAAAAAGTATCAAAATAGAAGGAGATATCAGAAGTTTAGATAAGGGCAGGTTAAGTATGTCAAGTAGCTAATAATAATAATAGCTAACATCAAAATGAATGGCAGCATGGCACACTATATAATATAGAAAACTAGCCTTGGAATCAAGAAGACCTGTGTTCACATCCTCCTTGACTCACACTTAATGTCTGGGTGACCTTGGGCAAGTCATATAACCTCTCAGTTCTCCAGGCAGTTTTCTAAGGCCATGAAGAGCAGGTGCCAGCCTCTGTTTGCAGAAGGACTTACTGGTCCAGTCTCTGTTCCTATCATTAACATTGATACTATAATGTTTGCAAAGCAGTTTGCATATATTATCTCATTTGGTCCTCACAACTACTCCGTGAGGTAGATGCAATTATTAGCCCCATTTTAAAGATAAGGAAACTGAGTTTGAGTGACTTACCCAACGTTATATAGCTAGCAAATAAATGTCTGGGAGATAGACTTTGAACCCAAATCTTTCTGACTCCAAGTAACTGAATCCTTCTTCTTAAAAATCCTGGCATTTGGGAATTACATTTGTCTACTTTTGGCTTTTGGATCCCATGTTTCTGACCTCCTGTAGAAGAATCGTTTCTTTATTGTGCTTTCTGATTGGGTAATGGCAGTCTACTCTTATATAAACCCCCTAGTTAACAGAAGTTTTTTCTCTATGATACTCTCTCAGCCCTTGGTGAAAAATTACCATATATAAAATCTTGCAGTGTTATTTAGTTTTTAAAAAAATAATCTTGTATTTTCTCCAGTTACATGTAAAGGCAATTTTTAACGTTCGTTTAAAAAAATTTTGAGTTCCAAATTTTCTTTCTCCCTCACCTTCTCCCTCCCTGAGACAGTAAGCAATTTGATACAGGTTATACATGTTCAATCATGTAAAACATATTACCATATTAGTCATGTTGTGAAAGAAGATACAGACCTAAAGGAAAAAAAAACCACCCATGAAAAAATACAGAAAGTGAAAAATAGTGTGTTTTGGTCTTGCAGGGTTATTTTGGAAAAATTTTTTTTTCCTTTTTTTGATGGCCTCAGACAGGCAATACTCGTGTATTTATCTTTGCAGCTGTAGGTTTTCTTGGTTTATACCTTCACCTTCCAGGTCATAGCCTTAATAGATTCAGAACTGTAAGGGACCTTAGTGGTCATCTGATTGAGCCTCCTTATTTCCCAAATGTGAAAACTAGACCTCTCACCTTTTCTAGGCAGTCCTACTATACTTCCCTTGTGAACTCACTATCCTACTCTCCACAGTTCTAAACCTTTTCATCTTTCTTCAAACCTCCTATGCCTCCCCTCCCCTCACTCTCTCAGCTGAGAACCTTACTCCATATTTTACAGAAAAAATTGAGGCCATTCACTGTGAACTCTTCCTCTCTTCCTCATCTCCTGCTACTCTCTTCTCCTTCACTATTGCCCCACATGATGAAGTAGCCTTACTCCTTCCTAAGGTACCACCTTTACTTGTTCAGGTGGAATGGACTGGATGGTATTTTCCAATCTCCTCCAGTAGATTGCTGTTTCTGTCATCCCCTTTATCATTTACTTTCCCTCTTTCTACTAGCTCATTTCCTACTCCCTACAAATATGCCCATGTTTTTCCTGAAAAACAAAAGTAAGTCTTGATCCTTCCATCCCTGCTATCATCCTGTATTTCTTCTGCCCTTTTTAGCTAAACTCGTCAAAAAGGCATTCTATAATAGGTGCCTCCCCTTTGTCTCCTTTCTTTTCTTAACCCCTTACAATCCATCTCCTAGCCGTATCATTCCACTGAAACCACTTTCTCCAAAGTTCATAGTAATTTCTTAGTTGCCAAATTCAGTGGCCTTTTCTCTGTCCTCATTCTCCTTGACTTCTTTACAGCTTTTGATGCTGTTGATCACTCTTCTCCTTGATATTCTTTTCTCTAGGTTTTCCCAACACTATTCTCTCCTTGGTTCTCCTCCTATCTGACACTTTCTCTGTATTCTTTGCTGGATCTTCTTCCAGATCACACCCTCTAACCATTAGTGTCCCTCAAAATTCTGTCCTGAGCTCTCTTCTCCCTCTGTATTACTTCACTTGGTGATTTTATCAGCTCCCATGGATTTAATTACCATCTCTATGCTGTTGATTCTCAAATCTACCTTTTGTGCTCCAATGTCTCTGCTAACCTCCGCTGTTGAATTTCTAACCGCCTTTCAGACATCTAGAGCTAGATGTCCAGTAGATATGTACAAAAAGTAATTCATTATCTTCCTCTCCATCTCTCCCCCTTCCCAACCCTCCACTCCTTTACTTTCCCTATCACTGTAGAGAGCAACACCATCCTCTCTGCCCCTTGAAACCTAAGAGTCATCCTGGATTCTTCACTGTTGCTCATCACCATATCCAGTCTGTTGCCAAGACTTACCGATTTCACCTTTGCAACATCTCTCAAATATGCCCCCTTCTTTCCTCTGACACTGTCACCACTATGATGCAGATCTTATTATTTCACACCTTGATTACTGCAGTAGTTTGCTGGTGGGTCTGCCTGTCTCAAGTCTCCCTCCCCACTCCAATCCAGCCTTCATTCAGCTGCTAATGTAATGTTCCTAAAGCACAAGTCTGATCATATCACAACATGCTCCCTGCCCCCATTCAGTAAACTCCAATGGCTCATTATCACCCCCAGGATCAAATATAATATGCTCTGTTTGGAATTTAAAGCTCTTCATAAATTTAGCAACCCCTTCCAACCTTTCTAGTCTTCTTAAGCCTTTCTCCCCAACTTGTATTCTTTGCTGTTCCACCAAGACACTCTGTTTCATAGCTCTGATCATTTTCTCTGACTGTCCCTCATGCCTGAAACCCTCTTCCTTTTTCTGCTCTGACTACCGACCTCTCTAGCTTCCTTTAAGTCCCCCCTTCTACAGGAAGCCTTCCCCAACCCCTTTTAGTTTTTGTGCCTTCGCTCTGTTATTTATTTTCTATTTATCCTTTACTTTGTATATATTTGTTTGCATGTTGTTTCCTTCATTAGATTGGAAGCTTCTTGAGGGCAGGGACTGTCTTTTGCCTCTTTTTGTATCCTTAGCATACTGCCTGATACATAGTAGATGCTTAATATTTATTAATTGGTTGAAAACAGACCTGAGAATTTGAATGACTTATTGAAGGCCACACATGTAGTAAATGACATAACTAGAATTTGAACTAGGTACTCTTGACTTCAAATCCAGTACTCTTTCCACCGTACTGTGCTGCCCCCATCAGTTAATCAACAAACAAACGTAAATGTACGAGGCACTGGGGATGCACTGGGGATAAATGAAACAGTATCCTCCTCCCCTCAGGAAACTTACATTCTGTGGAGAGAGACATCTAAGTGTGTACAAAAACATTCATATTTGGAGTGCATTACATGGAAGTCCTGGGTGATGTTTTTGCGAAGAGCAAAATAGCCCTGTTTAATGGCCTTGTCTAGGAAAAGTATGTTCTGGCTGTAGATTGTTATTCAGATGTTTTTCAGTAGTATCCAACTAGTAAGTGTAAGCTTCTAAATGTCTGAGGCCAGATTTGAACTCAGGAGATGAGTCTTCCTGACTCCAGGCCTAGCACTCTATCTAGTACTCAATCTACCTGCGCTTGGGTATAGAATACTAATTTTAAAAAAACAGAATATAATATGATTTGTTGTTTTTGTTCATATCCAACTCTTTGTGACCCCATTTTGGGGTTTTACTGGCAAAGATACAGGAGTGGTTTGCTGTTTCCTTCTCCATCTCATTTTAGAGATGAGGAAACTGAGGCAAACAGGGTGAAGTGACTTGCCCAGGGCCACACAACTAGTGTTGGAGGCTGGATTTGAACTCAGGTTTTCCTGCCTCTAAGCCTGCACACTAACATGGTATACCCCATTAAAGCGAAACCAAGTACTTTAGGGCCTTAAAAAGGTCATTATTATAAACATTTCTTGTCATTTCTTAAGTACTGTGTTAAATGACGGGTACCAGTTCTATAATGTATTGGTTTAAGAAGAATTTTCTGTAGTTGACTATACTGGCTTGGCTTCAGTTTTATCAGTACTTAGAATCTAAGGATCATTCACATTTCTACCCTTTTGATTTAATTTTTTCTTAGTTTATGTAAGTCCTGGAAAGTGTAAAGATAATTTTGCAATGCATAGGCATTTATAAGGAACTTGGGTATACCTTTGCTGAAGTGTTGGTCATAAGTGTACTTTGTGTTTTTGAACCTAGGATAGAATAGAATAAAGAATTTTATTATTTAGGCTTGTTGGTGTACCCAAGTTCCTTTAAAGAGTCCTTGCTCTTGTGCTGTGTGTGTGTGTGTGTGTGTGTGTGTGTGTGTGTGTGTGTGTGTGTGTGTGTGTGTGTATGTACACTAACCGATATTACTGTCTAATGTGAACCAGGCTGCCAGAACTGCTGAGGGAGAGAGCAGACAGAGGTTCTTCACCCAGGATATTAATGGCATCTTGCTGGAGTGAGTATTCTTTACTTATTTGTATGTGTTCCTTACTTATTTGTATTTGTATGTGTTTGAATGGAGCAAGACTTGGGGGTTCAGAAGTAGGAATATATACTTAGGCCAAAAGTTATTTATTTGAACCTGAAAAGGGTTTTTAAACTGGTGAAGAGAAAAATCAGAATTGGATGGTTTGGTGGTGTTTTGTTCAGTAGCAGTGTTTGTATGCTGACTTCTTTGCCTCCAGGGAACTGGACTATGTATTATTTTTTGCCGATCCCTCATAGAAGGCATTCATTATAGGAGCGTACTGTGGATGTGGTAGTCACAGACTACTGAAGGAAGATGTTTTTTCTGGATTAAAAACCTCTAAGTCTCTTGGCATATGTGAGATCAGAAGAGGACATGCTTTCATTTTTTTTTTTCTGTCAAGCCTCTCTGGGAGTCTAGGCATTGAATTCAGAAGAATAACAAGACTGAATACACCCTGATGAAGTTACAGGAGTACTTTCTCTATCCAGGGCTCTTCATTGTTCTTGGCTACTTTGTCAAAGACCTTCCTTCTTATCAACTCTTTTTGTTCTCTAAGCCAGTTCTGGGTGTTATGTAGGAGTTGACTTTTGGATTATCAACATTATATTCTCTGGATTAATTTTTTTTCTTTTTAATGAAGAAATATATTTGGTTTTGGTTTTGATTTGCATCTGGTGGCAGAGAAAATTGGTGTCTTCCCACCCCTTCTCACAGTTTCATTGTGGCACAGAAAAAGATCGATCATTTTCCATTTGGAAGAGTTTGTTGTGATTTTGTAATGGAGCTAGAAAATGACCTTGATCATTGTCGATCGATACTGAGCGCTCTGAGTACGTGGAATTTTCAGGAAAGTTATCTAGGAATTAGCATTAATTAGTGGGCTTTGTACTTCAAAGGGGGCTTACTTCATATGAGTAGAGTGCTGCTGGACTTAATTGAAGATAGGTATCTTCTCTTTTATATAGGTTGGGAAACTGAGGTATAACAAGAGTAGTGATTTCCATGCCACCTAGTCTTGAGTAAAACTGAAAATTGGATCTGAAAGCTGCTGAAATATGCCATGATGTTTTTTCATATGACAACAAACAAGCCACTGCTTTCAACTTTTAGAACATATGCTTTTTCTTCTGTGGAGACTTCTAATCGAGGATACTTTTTCCTTAGACCTTGTTGTGTTCTCTTTTTAGCCATCCCTTGTTTATTATTCTTTTTTTTGAAATGGTAGACTTATTTTATTTGAATTACTCTGATTAGAAAAGCTTCTCAGGTTTTGGAGTTGCTGTTTTTATCAGAATTGCTAAGGGAGCGTTGTGTTGACTCTTGAGTTGTGTCAAGTGATTTGGGTTGGGTTGAGTTATCATTTCTCATAGCTACTCAGAATTTTTTTCCGTAGTGGATGTCATTTGATGAGACAAGTCATAGTGAGTTGTAGGCCATTGATCACTTTGTTCTGTTCTTCAGCATAGAGGTGCGGTCTCGGGAGCTGAATAGCCAGATCCGTTCTGGGGTGTATGCCTATCTCGCTTCATTCCTGCCCTGCAGCAAGGATACTCTGGTCAAACGTGCTCGCAAACTTCATCTCTATGAGCAGGTGGGTCATCTTGGAGTGGAGCACTGTGGCCTTGCAGCCAGCTTTTGAGATTTAGCTGCTGGTGTTTGCGGTAGTTTTTCTCCAAATCTGAGCATATTTGAGATCTGTACTTGAGTGTTTACGAATGCCAAGGTGCCACATCTGTTACTGCACTTCCAGTGACTGAGGAGTATTATTAGTATAAGAAGTAGTGAGTAAACTAGAGTTCTGGTATATAATGCTCTCTGCAGGGAGGGCGTCTGAAGGAACCTCTGCAGAAACTTAAGGAAGCTATTGGCAGGGCAATGCCGGAGCAGATGGCCAAATACCAGGAAGAGTGCCAGGCACATACACAAGCAAAGTTTGCTAAGTAAGTGTTCCCCACTCCGTCTGCATTACCTTGCTCTCCTCTTTGTCACTTTCTTTTCTCCATTTCTCAGGATTTTTACTTGTGTTTTCTGAATGGGACTGTGAATCTTCCTCAGCTTTTTTATCTTCTGGGTGGTATAAGCTAGTAGTCCCAGTCATCATGGGGCTTTGGGAGGAGTTGGTTCTTCTGTGGTGACCTTAGGGTACCACTTAACAGTTCCATTCATCCTGTAGGATGCTGGAGGAGGAGAAAGACAAGGACCAGAGAGAACGTATTTGTTCTGATGAGGAGGAAGATGAAGAGAAAGGGGGTAAACGCATCATGGGACCCCGGAAGAAATTCCAGTGGAATGATGAAATCAGGTGTGCCCAGACTTTGGATCATTGGAGGGTTTGTGGAGCAGTTATCTAAGTCCGTATTCCTAATGGCAGCTGACGGGTTAGGATCATTCACCTTCATCAGTGCTACTGAGAGCAAGTATTTGAAACATCGAAGAAACATTTTTTTTTTGTAGCCTGATCTGAAGTCTGATTTCTGCCCCCTCTTCAGGGAGTTGCTCTGCCATGTGGTGAAGATGAAACTGGATGGCTATGATTTGGAGAGGAATAAGGCTCAGTCCTGGGAAGATTATGTGAAAGCTTTTCTGGATGCTGAAGTCAAACCCCTCTGGCCCAAGGGCTGGATGCAGGCCAGGTGAGGGACGATGAACAGCCTGCAATATCAAGATTTTCTGATGAGGTGTGGCATGAATGGAGCTTGAACCATGAAGAATAGTTTTTAGCTGTGGTGTTCATTTTTTATTCTTTAGGAAAGGGCAAAGTATCTGTTGTGGGCTTTTGTGCCTGTTATTCTTTATCCTCTTTCATTTTGAGGTAGGTTGAATGTGAGTTTTACCTTTCCCTCCTTTGTTTGCCCTCTTCTCTTTTGAGCAGTGTCTTAGAATAGACAGTTGAGAAAGGTATTCATCTTGATTAATATTCTCAGCATCATGTAGACTTCTGTAGAAATACCAGGCATGGGCATAACTATTAAAGTGTTTTTTTTTACTTTGGTTCAGAGACCATCTTAATTCTAAAGTTGAATACTATGTGTATAGTATGTCTAATAGGATGTGGAAAGGTATAATTTGCAAGTTAGTAGAGGGAGCATACATGGCATTCTCTATGACAGGATTATAGTCCTTGTGTGGCCCTGATTCAGCATGTAAATTTGGATAAATATTGAGCCTGTCCGTAATATGAAAATTGTATTCTTTCCTTATAGGAAAAATTATTGAATTAATGTTGGACTATTATAACATAGAGATTTTTCAGGAAAAGGCATAATGTGGATATCTATTGATTTTATCTTTGAAAGGGAAAAGGTAGACTAACAGAGAAGGGATGTTGCCTACAGAAAAAGAACATTGAAGAATTGGGGTCCACCCAACTGCTGTCTTTCACGCAGGGCTGACTTAATTGGCATAACTGCAATTATCCCATATCTCTTACCTGAGACCAATCCAACTGATCATTTAAAATTTATTGAACATACACTCTGTATGAAGTAGCAAGCGAGCTTACCACTATGGGAAGATAAAAAAGAAATAGGAGATATATGGTCCCTGCTCTTAGTCAACTTAAATTCTTAAAGTTTCATGCAGATGTAACTGTGCCACACCAGATAGCTTATTGCCATTTCTTTGTTTCAGGACTCTGTTTAAGGAGAGTAGGCGTGGACATGGACATCTGACATCAATCCTGTAAGTGTTTGATGTTTTCACCCCTTGGATTACTTTTAGTTGCTTCCTGTAGCTATTCTTTGAACCTTTTTTGTGTTAATGTTTTTGAATAGGGCCAAGAAGAAAGTCATGACTGCTGCCAAGGTCAGAGTGAAGGTGAGTTCCTACTATGTGCTATTCTGTGTTCTTATCTCCATCTAACCAGGCTCATATGTTAAGTGATATTATGACTCAAAAACATTGGTACTTCAAGGTGATGAATGTTTATGTATAGCTCTTAATGTTGTATTGGAAGGCAGCATAATTCAATGAAAAGTGCCTGAGAGTGGGGGTCAAGATACTTAAGGGAATTCCCTTATTTTCACTGAGTCTCAAGTTTCCCCATTTGTAAAATATGTATAGTAATACCTGACCTATACAGGTATTACAGGGCTTTTCAAAGATCAAATAAAACAACAGGTTTGAAAGTCCTTTGAAGAGTTAAAAAACGTATATAAATGTTAGTCTGGTATTCTTGTTCTGTGTCTATATACCTAGGAATTGCATTGGCCAAGGAAAAGTTGATTCGTCATGTTAACAGTAGTAGAATGGAGAAGTAATATGGTAAAAAGGGGATAAAAATTAAAATATCTTGAAATACACAATTCTCGATTTACTGAGACCTGGCAGTGTTCAGCTATGTAGGCTATGAGGAAAATATGTGATTTCTCTTTAGAGGCACTGAGGTGTAGAGAAAGAGTATTAGACATAGAGTCAGAGGCCTGGGCTGGAGTACTAGCACTTGTACCTATTAATTAGCAGTGTGAGCCTTCACCAGTCACTTCATTTAGCCTTAGTTTCCTCTATGTATAATAGGAATAATAATAATTGTATTACAGGATTGTGAAGAAATGCTTTGCAAACGTTAAGGCACTGTATAAATATGTTATAATAGTCCAAACTTAGTCATGCTATATGTAAGATCTAAAGGACAAAGTTAATTTAGAATAATTCCTGGGCCATTCAGTCAGTCCACAAACATTCACTAATTTATTAAGTACTTAAGATATGCCCAAGAGTGGTGAAAAACTGGGGATACAATGAAAAGCAAAAACAGTCCTTACCCTCGAGGCATTTTAAGGGGAGTCACACTTTGGAAAAGTTTGGAAAAAATTGTAAATATCTGTAGGCAAGCCTTTCCATTGTTTTTCAGGGTTAGATAATATAATAATAGGTGACATATAAATGGCTTTAAGTTTCGGAAAACTTTTACATATGTTCTCATTTGATCCTTACAACAGCCCTGTGAAGTAGGAACTGTTATAATTCCCATTTTACAGATTAGGAAACAGGTCAAGAGAGGTTAAATGACTAGCCCAGGATTATACAACTACCTGATTACAAATTCCACTTGATTCCACTCTGTCTGTGCATTACACCACAGCAAATAGTAGTGGGACATGCATGAATATACAAAATCCCAGACAGATGTCAGAAAAGTATGGAGCCTATATTCTTTTTCATTTCTTATCATATAGAGAAGCACAACTAGTTGATTGCCCCTTTTTTGCAATGGATATTTAATCATTTCTAATTATTGTTATTTATGTTTGTTTTTTTTAAGGATTCTTCCACCAAACTTGATAAGAAAGTTTCAGTTCCATCAGGACAATCCAGTGGCTCCATTGTTTTGCCTTCAGAGCAGCATCAGGGAATGGGTATGAGCATTGGTGCTTCAGCCAGGGAGTTGTCATCTCTGGGTGCTTCTCAAACATCCAGCAATATTGCTAATCCTGCTTCTTTCAACCTGGAGGACTCACTGGATGAAGACTTAATTCATAATCCAACCTCTTCATTGGAAGCAGTGTCTAAGGAACTGGCTGCATTGAACAGCAGAGCAAGTGGGAGTCCTGAATTCATTCTTCATGTGCCCCCAAAGACCCCTACAGATAAAGTAACAAGTTCTGAGGAAAAAAGAAACTTCCCTAAGTCCAATTCTTCTGCTCCATCACCTGCTAGCTCGCTACAGTCACCTCTTAATTTCTTGGCTGAACAGGCACTGGCACTGGGGCAGTCTTCTCAGGAGAAAAAAACAGATAATTCTAGTTACAAAGAGCTCTCTTGCCAGGCTTCCCCCAGTAAAACCTTGTCCGAAGCACACCAGTCTAAACTTAAGCACCATAATTTGCCACGGACATCTCATGGACCACAAACATCACCTCTGGTGCCCACCCCCCAAGTTAAAGTTTTTCATTCAAGTAATCAGCAGCAGAAAAACTTCACACCCCCAGCTCCATTTGTCAATAAGCTCCAGAGCCCAAAGGCTGCCTCCCCTCTGGCCCAGCGATCCCTCCTGCAACAGGTCAAGACGTCGACCAAAGGTCCAAGCTTCCACTCCTCAGCATCTCCCTCTTCGGGTAGCACCCCAGCCTCTAGTAGTACTCATAAGAGCCCTGGCTCCTCCACAGCTTCTTTGGGTTATACAGGGAAGCACTCATCCAGTTCTTCAGGACAATCTTACAAGTCTCCCTTTGTTGCTGGCTCTTTCTCTAAACATGGGGTTTCTTCTAGCACTTCTTCATCTGGAGTATCTTCAGTCCAGAGCTCTGCATCTGGGAGCTCACTATCTGGTGTACAGGCTTCCTCCTCTAGCCAGCCTTCCAGCCGGCCAGTACCAAGTTCTGCATTGAAGAAACCTCCAGTTTCCCAGAAGCTGACTTTAGTGGCGCCACCTGGTGGCCCAAATGGAGATTCTAGTGGTGGGACACAGGGGGTGGCCAAGTTACTGACCTCTTCCCTTAAGCCAGCTGTGGTTAGTAGTGCTACATCATCTACCTCCTTGCCAGTGAGTATTACAGTTGAACAAAAAGTCCAGCACATTTTTCTGTATATTTTTAAAGAAGCAATTCTTGTCATGCTAGTATGTATCTGAGTTGAAAGTCACATGGTAATAATAAGCTGGCCTTAGAAATCCACAGGAGTAGACTGTATGCTTTGATGTTATTGTAATGTTGTATGGTTACAATGGCTGCTTTTGTGTGTGGCAGCCAATTCTAAGGACTGCCTAAAATCTATCCTTTTGTGAAGAAGGAACTGAAACTTTGTATGATTTTAGGTAGTAATTTGAGGTCCTTTGGGGAGTTGAGGGAGTTTAGCTTTGCTAATAAAAAACTGATCTTGGTTTTCTGGCTCTGAGCAGCATAATATGAAGAGCCAGCAGTTTTTCTTTATTACGTGGGTTATTCTTATGCTAAAACATATGGGAGAAAAATTTAGTTGTTTGTAAAATCAGTAGTTGGGTGATGAAATTTTACTGGGAAAATATTTATGGTATGTGGTGTTAATTCTATTAAATAGATTGAAACAATCGTAGGTACAGTGAGGGACGATGTATTGAATTAGGCTGTTGAATCTTGTTTGGGGTATATGTGGCTGGGCTTTGGAATCAGGGTTGGGGAACAGAAGAGATCATTTATATTTGGGTTTACTTTGATGTATAGGAAGTCTGTGTGTGTTTTTTATGTTACTCTGTGTGTGTGTGTGTGTGTGTGTGTGTGTGTGTGTGAGAGAGAGAGAGAGAGAGAGAGAGAGAGAGAGAGAGAGAGAACTGTTAACTTCCTGAACTTTGACCATCTTCTGTATTCCTTTCCCAGAAAGGAACAAGTGGAGCTGTACTGCTAACCAGCTCCTCTTCCTTAAGTGTACTGTCACCATCCTATAAGTCCAGCAGTTCTAAACTGTCCGGAGGCCTGAACTCAACACCACTGGGGATTTTATCTCCTCTCCACACTTTCCCTCTCCATGTGATCTCCTTTAGTGCAGACTCATCTCCCAAAGCAGGAGTCTCCAAGGATGCCATTGTTACAGGCCCTGCCCCTGGAACTTTCCACCATGGCCTGAGTCACAGTAAGTATTTCTCCTCCTTTCCACTTTGGAAGGCCAAAAGGTACAACTCAGTGCCTATAACAAATGAGTTTGCTATTGTGTTCATACATTTTGTGTCTTTGGTGTGTGATTGTGGGGATGTTACTTTGAGAGCTTTGCTAATTTCTGATTTTGGGTTTCTTGCTCATAAGTGGCCCATTGGTTTGTTCTGGGCTCTCTTGATAGCTATAGCTACTTTTCTGTTTTCTGTCTTCAATGTATGTGTTTGTTCTTTTCTTCCCCCTCCTTTCTTTGTTTTTCTCTCTAGGTCTTCTGGCTGGCTTGCACTCCAGCCCGCACCATGCAGCGCCTCTCCCACACTCTGCCTTGTCTACCCATATTCCGCAGAGTCTGCCAGGTAATTGTCAGATAGTCTGTTTACCATGAGCATCATGAATCATTTCTTACCCTTCACCCTTTACATCCCTTGAGAAACCAAAGCACTCACTGTCTTTACCTTGTCTTCACTGGTTTGATCTTTGCTATTTAATTCAAAGATTACTAGGGTTTCAGAAGCTCTTTTAAAAGCATTTTACTGGCCTTGTGGATGAGAGTGACTAGAGTATGAATATAAATATAAATATTAAAGGGTCTCATAATTTTTTCCTATTACTCCTAGTAAATGTCTCATGAGATAATTTGATGAAGGTTATATTTGTTTTTGATGCACTTTCAGCCTTATACTTTGGATTAAATGTTTAATAATCTTATACATTCTCATATGAAATGGTCATTAGTATTTTGGGCTTTAGTAAAAGGCAAGGCTGCCTTTGTTAAAAGTAGAGGTGCTCCATGGAGCACTGGGAACTCATCTCAACTTTTTCCTTTGCTTTTTTCAGTAGAACAGAAGGGGAGGCAGTGCACTATCCCCATAGGGGCCAGTAAGGTCATGGCAAATCTCCTAAGGCCTGTCTGCAAATACCATCTATACTTCATCTGTTAAGAGCTTTCTGTGCCTAGGTTAAATAAGAGGTGACATTCCTAATGACTCTTTATCCTCTTCCTGATCCCTTAAGGTGGGTTTGACCAAAATTCTATATTTAGCCTCCTTTTCTCCTTTCTCTATGCTCTTTTTCTTGACCATCTCATTCATGCCTACTGCTTCAATTTTCACCCTTACACTAGTTACTCCTACATATGTATCTTGCATATTATTCTCTTCTTTTCTTGAGCTGTAGAGCCCAAGTCTCCTAAGGCTAGCAGAACGTCTCTACCAGCATATCAAATCACCATGGTTAAAACTGACCTTATCATCTATACACTGATGCTTTACCTGCTCCTTCTTTTGACTTGACTATTTCTGTCAGCTTTATAACTGTTTACCTACTTTCTAATATTCACAACCTTGTTATTATGTTTGACTCTTCCCTCTCACTCCCTTCTCCTATCCATTCACTTATCATATTCTATCTGTTCTGTCTCTATTGTCATAGATTCCTCCTTTCTATTCTGTCACCATTTTAATACAGATCCTCATTACCATCTTCATGGATAATTGCATGGGAATCTTAATAGACTCTTTCTTACATTTGCCAAAATAGAATCTACTCTGTGAGGAGCTTGCATTCCACTTTGGAGGAAAAATATGCACACAGATAAGTCACCCCAAGGTAATTTTTTTGGGGAAGACATTTATTAACTGTCTTCCCCAAAATTCCTTTTTTGTAGGAGGTGGCACTTGAGCTATGAACTTTGCAGGAAGCTAGAAATTCTGATAGGTAAGAGGGAATGCATTCCAGGCATGAGGGTGCAGCTTGTGCAAAGGCACAGAGGTCAAAATATGGGGAACAAAAGCAGGTCAGTTTGGTTGAGCATTTAGGGAATAATGGGATATCAATCTGGAAAGGTAGGTTGGAACCAGATTGTTAAGTCTTTTATAAGAGGTAGAGAGACTAATTCAGAGGTTTTTGCAAATAGTCCAGGTACAGGTAATGAAGGCCTGACTTTGGGTGGTAGCCATGTAGGTGGAAAAAAGGGAATGGAATACAAGAAGTGTTATGGAAGTAAAATCAATAAGAATTGGTAATCTAGATATGGGAAGTGACAGAGAATGGAGAGATGAAGATAATTCCAGGGTTATTAACAGTTGCTACCATGTAAAGGCTGTTCAAAATCCTTACTTAGCCTGGCATTTGAAGCACTCCATCATTGTATGCTCCTTTACCTTTTAAATCCATTATTCATTTATGAATTATTCTAAGCACTGGGGATACAAATACAAAAACAAAACAGCCCCTGCCCTTAGGGAGTTTATGTTCTGCAGGGATTCGAAATGTAAATAGAGAGGTAATTGTGACGTAATTTGAGGCAAGAGAAATCACTAAACTATAGGGATATTGGAAGATACTTCTTGGAAGAAGTAGTATCTTAGTTGAGTCTTAGAAGAGGAAGCTTGGAAGTTCTGAGCAGAGGCAGAGATTGAGTACATTTTAAGCAAAGGTGACATCATATACAATAGGCATGGAGAAAGAAGATATAATGTTGATTCTGGAGAACAGCCAGTTTGGCTAGAACATAGAGTATGGTGAAGGAGACTAATATGAAATAAATTTGGAAAGATAGGAGTCATATTTTGGAGGATTTTAAATATCAGACTGAGGAGCTTGTATTTTGTCCTTAGAGACAATAGGAAGCAGGAGGAAGTATCATTATTAGACTTTTTGATTTAGTCTGTGTGGAGACTGAGTTGGAAAGATAAAAGAATTGAATTAGAGAAACCAATTAGAAGGCCATTGCAGTAGTGCAGGTGAAAAGTGATGAGGACCTCTCTCACGTAGCAGGATTGACCCTGCTTGCCAACAGATTGGGTTATATGGGACATGAAGGAGAGAGAACAATCAAGGATGACACCACGGTTGTGAATCTGGATTACTGGGAGGATGGTGGTATCCGCAACACAAATAGGATCTTTAGCAGAGATTCCGTTTTAACAGGGGGGAGCTGATTTCCATGATAAATATATTAATTTGGAGATGCTGATGGGGCATCCAGGGGGAAGTGTCAGGCAGTCAATTTGTGATTTATGAATTCAGGAGAGAGATTAGGGTTAGGTATAGAGATTTGTCATCTTGGGAGCTGTTGAGATCAAAAGAGAATGAAGAAAGAGAAAAAAGGTCCCAGGACAGAACCACCAAGACATTTATACATGTTAAGTAGACAGAGATGAATGATGATCCAACAAAGAAGGCTGAGGAGCTCACACACAGGTAAGAGAACCAAGAAAGCTATATCATGAAGCTTCAGAAAGAGTGAGTGGTCAGTTACAAAAGCAACAGATATGGTAGGATAAAGACAAAGAAAAGGTCAGTAGATTTATTAGTTAAGAGACGTGGATAACCTTGGAAAGAACAATTTCAGAAGCCTAGACGTACCAGAAGCCATATTACAAGAGTTTGAGAAGTGGATGGTCAGTGTGGAAAAGGATATGATGAACGTAGACAACTTGTTATGGGGGATTGCCTTTGAAAAGGAGAAGGGACATAGGATAGTAGCTTTGGGAAATACTAGGGTCAAGTGAAATTAAGGATGTGGGAAACCTGGGCATGTTTGTAGGTATAAGGGAAGAAGATAAAAAAGGAAAAATTGAAAATGAGAAAGAATATTTAAATATTTAAAGGGGAAATATCCATAAGAATCTAGAGGAGATAGGATCAATCAATCTATAATCAGGAGTATAATTAGATTGATTAGGTTTTAGTCAGGAAAAGGGCCACTTCTTTTTTAGAGACTGGAGCAAAGGATGAGAGAATGGAAGATGTGGAAGAATTTTGAGGCACAGAGCAGGGCGGGGAAGAGGGAGCTCTTGGTAGTCTCTGTTCATGAAAGTAGGAAATGAGGTTTTATGCTGGGGTTGAGTGGTGAGAGAGAGTATAGAGAGCTTGAAGAGGGGAGAGCTAAAATTTAGTAGCCAAGTGGGGAGTGCAATAGTGAGGGGAAAAAGGATTGTTGCAGTGAGGGCCCAGTTAATATTAGATTAACAAATTTGCTGCGGACTCAGTAAGCAGAGTTGTGTGACTTCTCTAGCTGCATCCATTAGCATGCGAGTAGTTGTGGAGAAAGCAGATAGTAGGGGTAATCCAGGGTAGAGGATTGGCAGGGCATGAATGGTAGTTGGCCAAAGGGGCAAGAGATTTAAGGGTAAAAGAAAGTAAGTGCATATAGTTCAACTAGTCAGCCACAGACTCAAGACTAAAGGTAAGAAAGTGAGGCCAGAGCAGAGATAAGGAACTGAGAGAGCAGGAAGAAATAGAGGAGCTAGGGAGCATGGTAAAGATGAAGGTTTAGGAGCAAGGCAGAAGCACAGATAAAAGAAGGACAGGATGTTAGGATCAGAGAGAAGAAATTTCGGCATCCAAAATCATGAAGGTAGCATAGTTAGAGATAGGGATGGTGGTAAGATTGAAGGTATGACCTGTGTTTGACTGAGGCAGAGTGAAGATGTAGATTATAGGAGGTGGAGTTGATAATGTAGGTGGAACCATTGAAGGAATATCAACATCTATATATTGAAATCCCAGAATATTAGTGTGATTGTCAGGATGGAAAAGATAGTAAGTCAAATATTGTTGAAAAAGGAGGAAGAATGACCTAGAGGCTGGTAGATGACTAGATCTGAACTGGATGATATAGATGAATAGAGTGAACCTTAAAGGAGGAGAGGCTGATGAATGATGTTTGGAAAGGAATGATCTGGAAGCAGTAATTGGGAGCAAAGCATATGCCAATTCCTTTTCCTCCTGGCCTAGTGTGTAGGGTGCATGAGAGTACTTGAAGCATACTCAGTACTTGAGAAGATAGGTAGGGATGATGCAGTGCTTTGCTTAAGAAATCAGATTTCTATAAGTAGAAGAAGAACCAGAATGTGTAAGGAAGAGTTACAGGATGAAAAGAATATTAATAATAGAGCAGTGTTTTCAGAATACACAGTGAAAGGTAAGGGATGATATAAGGGTAGGACTGATGTGAGTGGGGATGACAGGAAGTGATGGTAGAGGAAGAGGATTTTCACCTTGCACAGTGATGCAGTCACAGGGTATTTTGGAAGGAAGTAGAAACAGTGGCCCATGTGAAGGATGAAGCACCAGTTGATGTTGCTTGTCTCCTCTCAAACAACAGGTGAAAAAGGGTTGAAACAGCAAGACAGATGATTAGTAAATATTTATACTTCTCATCAGCTCCTACTTAATTCTATATATAGTAGAGATGTAGAAAGAAGAAAAGCAGCCTTGACTTATTAGCATTCCGATATTTAGTGAGGACTGATTTTAAAACCATGCAATTGGCTTTTCCAAGGAGACAAAATGAAAAGCTTTTCAGCTGATCTCATGTTTTTCCATCAGAAACAGTAAAAAGGCAGTGGACTTGTGCACAAGCTATTTGTCTTACCAGTAGATGAGTGATTTAGGGAATTGTATATTTGACTTAAGCTTAAAAAATAAATGACACTTAAAGAGTAGGGGATCATGGGAATCCCTGTTACTTTGGGAACAATGTAATTATTTCAGTCTGAGAAATCAAATAATTGATTAGTTATTGGAAGCTTTCTTGTCTATGTTGGGACAATAGGATTAGCAAAAAATGGAAAGCTAAGATTAAAATGGAACAAGAATTATTGAACTACATATTCCACTTAGCATATTTTATAAAGAGCAAACTTTCTTCCTTTGTACTTCAGACAGATGTCAAGGTTAAAAGATAGGCTTTAATGACTTAAAACTAAGAACTATCTTTACGTTTTAGCTTTGTGATTTTTGTATATTTGCTTTCTTTAGTGCTTTTTGCTTTACTTTTCTTAATGCCTTATGGTTTGTAGTGCCTTTTATAATTCTATCCTTGCAGGAGCTTAAGAGTACTTTGAAAGTAGAAGAACTTCAGTTTCATATGTTGCATTTTAATATGATCCTTAGGCCTTAATTACCTACACTGTGGAATCCCAGCATCCTAAGGGTGGGGTGGGTGTAGTTGAAGTTGGAGAATTGGAATGGCAAAGTCACATTTCCTGGGCATTTTGTACTTCAAGAACACCTGTCTTCATACCTTTGGTAGTTCTCGCAACTACTGTATTCACTATGACTTCTGCTGCTAATAGAGATTGTCAAGTAAATTCCATTTCTTTGAGTTCTAGGAGGCTAAAATTCAGTCACTTTGTTATGTGATCTATTCACTACACTTGTGCATATTGAAAATCAAATATCCTAAATTTTTTTTCCTTTTTTGCTTGTCTCCTTTAGACGCTTCTCAGCTTCATGGGAAAGGGACCAATGTACAACAGCGGAAATTGTGACATCTGCAGAAGAAAAGCTAATCTAGAACAAGGCAGAACCTGAATGAGTAGGTCTTGAAGACTGGATATTGACTGTATTCTTTCTTTCTGCCAACTGTGTTTCTTCTAGCAGCTGGAGAAAGAGTGAGCTCTGAGTTTCTTGGCACTTTTAACATGCCTCAGAGTTAGTGGGAGCTTCGTGCTCTTTTAGAGATGCTTATGGTGCTCTGTGCTTCACAACCATGTCATTTGACAGTAATTGAAGTGGCAGATACTAAAAAGGAGAACATGCTGGACTTTGGGTATGAGAGTATGTGTGTGTAATGACTACACTAGGATGGCAGATCATTTTTTAATCTATGTGTTAAATCTGCCAAGAACCTCTGTGTTCAGTTAACCATACCTCAAGACATTCCACAAGATGGTGGTTTGTTCCAGCTGTCGTAGGATCACTGCCTCTGGATTGGGACAATTATGGTGTCCTCATTTTTAAATTGTATGTTCAACAAGAAGAAAACCTGTGCTGGAGCATGATGGGGGAAAATTTTGCTTTGTCTCTTTGTGACTATATAAAGGAGATGACCTGATATGCTCATTGTGCAAAGGGAGGTGGAGGGAAAGGATTTCCTTCCTGAACATGATAGTGAAGCTCTTTATAGAAAAGACCTCTGTAGATTGCATTGGAACAATTGTAATAGGATTTTCAAAGTTATTTTTTTGGCTCAATTTTCATTATTACCATTAAATGCATTGGATAGAATGGGACTGTTCTTCACATGTCACCTGTATAGGAAGACATAATTCCAGTGCCTTTATGGTGGAGCAAAATTAGATAATACACATCCATTTTAGCCCTCTATCTGCTCCTGAAAAGAGATTTTTAAAAAAATTCTGTATTTAAGACTTATCCGTTTATATTTAATTGAGCTTTTCATGATTGCACATTGAAAGCTGCACTGTCCTGACTTGAAGGTGATTTGGATCCTGAGAGCCTGGTTCCAAATCCAGGAAGAGCACCAGTTCTTTCAGCATTTATGTATATGGGTTCTAGAGCCCAGAAGCCATTCTTGATCAGAATTTTCATCTCTGTGAGTAGGCGTGAGGAGTACAGAGTCACTGATATACATTCCATTTTTTTGTTCCTAGAAATCAGCACTCATAGAACTTCAGTAAAAGGCTTCTTTAGTGTTCCTGTAGTGGACACAGGCTTCAAAATCCTGGAGACTCTCCAGGTAATTGATTGGACTATGCATTAACTTAAGGGTAATATGCAGTTAGGTTTGGAGAGTCAATCAAAGGCCAGATGGTTAGGCACAAGCTAGAACTGGGCATATAGCTAGAAGAACAGTTCCCAAATTGCCAACCTGTTCACACTTAATTACTGTCTGTTTCACAAGAATTTTAAAAGTGCATTCTTATTCCTGTGAAATTTGTGCTACAAGGTATGTTTGAACTGGCTACTCAGACTGAATTACAAGTCAGATAAGTTCAGTGTGAACAGCATTGTCTGTGGCACTGAAATGATTGTACACATTGTGTGAAAACACTAAGTTGTTTCCAGGTTTCCTTTATTTAGATTACGGTGTACAAACTATCAATAATTCGTACTTTGTTCTAGGAAAGGCTTGTAGGCCTTCCCAAATTTGCATCTAGGAACAACAGACCTTCTGTCAGCTGCACTGGTAGGCCTCTGCTCATACTTTTATTTGTTTGCTTTGGTCAGACCCAAAACACCTTTCAAATTCAAGCTAAGCGACTCCTTAAGATCACTTTATTGTATTTTTTTTTTAATTGAAACTTGTATTTCCAGTTTGTTTACAGAATACTCCTAGGTAGTAGCAAAAGAGCCAAAGATGAGATTTGTATTGCTGAGCTCAAAACAGAGCAGTTATCAGTGGACTCTGAGCAGATGGAATTCTCCAGAATTCCCTTCCCATGAGCTCTCCCAGGTACCAGTCCCACTCCCTCTCTTTGCTTTCCTGCCAGTGCTCCCTCTGTACCACATACCGTTGAGTTTGTAGCTGGAGCAGAATACCCTCATTTTAGGAATCTAGTGATGCCTCTTGCCTCAGGGAAATGTTTCTTTGATGGGGATTCTGTGGGATTTCTTTTTCTTGTTTATGCTTTACTTGTGGTAATGAACGAGTGAATGAATTAAACAGAGCCATGGCAAGGCAGAGCTACAGGCTGACACTGTAGCAGAAGGATGGAAAATGGAACATTCCAGGCCCTGTGCCCTGGATGTAGCAGCTGTAGATGTTTCCTTTGGTGAGGGGAGTCTCTGAGCACTTACTGGGTATGGCAGTTTCTTTAGTATAAAAGGGGCTGCAGCTTTTGTGCAGGGACTGTTGGTATTGGGGGTGGTGGGAAAATTGTTAATCTTGTATAAAGCAACTCAATAAATTGTTTCAAAGTTTCCAAAACATTCTTTTTCATTTTTTCTGTTTTACCAAATTTCTAAGTGGGTTTTTTTTTCCTCCTGCAAATGATTCTCAAGGTATTAATCTTTTTGGAATAACCATTTTTGCTGAAACCCAAGTGAAAGTGGGAGGAAAGTTTTCTCAAAAGGAAAAGGTAAAAGATGGGTATCAGAGAAACAAAATTCAAGCCACCAGATTTTTATTTCCATACTATAAATAAAATTCCCTATCATTTCCCATTTTCATACAGAATAAATGAGATATACATAACTGGATATTCATTTGGTAAATAATCAACATTTTTTTTACCTAAATGCTATGAGGTAAAGCAAGATTCATAAGGCACTGCTGCCATTGTTTATAGTAACATCTTTTACTATTAAAATATTTTAATTTTACAGTAACAAACCACTCTCTTACATAGCATATTTTTCAAGGACATAAGATGGATAAAAATACCAGTTGAACCAAATTCTACTTAAGTTTCTTATATTTGCTGCTGGTTGGGTTTTTTTTTTATCACCTTTTCTAGCAGACATCCAGTATTTCTTGTCAGTAGAGTAACGACTGAAGATTTTCGACCAGAAAAGTAGAAGAATGTCAATATTAGTAACTTTGGATGTATTCAGTTGTTTGAATAGAAAAGTGCGTAGAATGAATGTCTTTTTATCTTTGAAAAAATGTTCATCAAATTGATTGGTTTTAAGGCTTGTGCTACTCTTAAGGTGTCTTCTCAAGCTCTCTTTGCCAGGCTTAATTAAATCAACCTTCTATAGTTTTGGAATACTTTTATTCCAAGAAGGGAGAAGGGAGAATGTCACAGAGGGAAACCAAAAAGAATATATTGAAAGGAAGAATGTTTAGGCAATAGAGGAAAAAAAGTGCATATTTACTAATTAAACCATTTCATCAAAAAGTAGGATTTCCCTGGGAACATTTCCAGGTAAGTCAATAGGTTAAGTAGTTGGGGACAAGTTTTATTCATTCTTACCCAATTGCCCTTCCACTTGTAGTCACAGTAGCTCTGTCCTGAGCAACTCTCTAAGCAAGAGTATAACTAAAATGTTGACATGTATACATACAGGGTCTGAGGGCATGTCGGAGGCAGAGTGGTAGAAACATAGTATCATCTTTGGTGAGACAAGACCAGTCACCTGCTTTTGAGGGTCAGAAGGAAGGATATCAGCTTGAAAAGACTGAAGCTTTATGTCTACTTTTGCCCAGACACTAAAACAGCTAGCTCCTGAATGGACATATCCTTGTTAACATATCGATCATACTGAGCTGGGGTTAGCCTTCCATTCTTTAAGGCATCTTCAATAGAGAACTTCTTTCCAGACTTTCTGTCATGTATCACAGAAGATTCTCCATTTGGTCCTTTGACTGATATCTCTTCCCAGTCACACTCCTGGCTTCTGAGCTTCACAAACATGTTCCAATCAATGAGACCAGCCCTGTGGGCTTCCTCTGGGGAAAGCTCTCTACCAGTATCAGGGTCAATAACCACAATGGAGCGACGTAAATGGTTCTCTCTCTGCTCCCTCTTAACTGCCACTGACCCTAGACGCTTATGCAACTCATCAATCTCATTATCTTTATCTCTGGAGATCCTTTTGAGATCATCCAGTTCTCTTTCCAGGGACCAGAGTCTAGAGTCTAAATTTGCCCCACAGTCCACTGAAGTCATGTTTCTTAAATCTCGAGTTTCTGTTGTGGTCATTTCAATTTCTGATTGCAGCCTTCTGGTCTCCATTTGTAGATTCTGTTTTTCTAAATGAAGTTTGTGGTTTTCTTCCCTTAAAAAGTCCAATTCCTTGGATGACTTGGAATTATGGAATTCCAGTTCAGACAACTTGGCCTCTAGCCGGCTCACCTCTGCATCCAGCTCCCTTTTGATACGACTCTCTTCCTCCAAACTGTTCTTCAGTTTCTGGATTTCTTGTTCTGTGTTACCTTTTTCTACTTGAACACTTTCTGAGAAGACCACTTTTTCTTTCACCTCCATCTTCTCAAGGGTAAGGAGTTTTTTTTTCAGTGCTTCAAGCTCACTCTCCAATATTTGCCGACGGTGCTTTTCTTCTTCCAGTTGGAGTCTGAGAAGAGAGTGTTCCTTTGCCTGCTGGGGATCCTGCTGGAGAACCACTTTCTGTTTTAGGGTCACCTTTTCTTTGGTCTCCCCTTCTTCTTTCTCCAGATCCGCTAGCCGAAGCTTTAGCCGCTGGACCTCAAGCTCAGCCTCCCTTCGAGCTTGCCGTTCTCTCTCCAGCTCTTCTAGCTGATGCTCTAGCTCAGCCCTTCTCCGCTGTAATTTTCGAAGTTCTCCTCGAAGATTGTCAATCTGCCTCAGTTCAATGTCAATGCTTTCTGTGAAGGAATCTACCTCAGCTCTCATGGCAGGGTCTTGTTCATATTTTACAACTTCTTGCTCAACTACTTTTTCTTTCACCTGTGACAGTTCCTCTTCCTTTTGTTTGATTTTGTCCTCTTGGGATAACCTTTCTCTCTCTAAATCTACCTGTTTTTTCTGTTCTTCTGATAATTTCAATCTTAAGGACTCTACCTCCTCTTTGGTTTTGGGGTCTTCACGGAATTGGAGTATCTCTTGAACTACTTCTTTGGTCTGCACTTGGGGTTTGGTATCTTTCAAGGACTGGATTTCTTGCTTCAGCTGGTAGATTTCTAAATCACATCTTTCAATCAATCTGGTTTTGTCTACAATTTCTTCTCTGAGTCGTTGAAGTTCCTTCTCCGTCTCAGGGTCAGTCTTATACTTAATTACTTCTTTTGTTACTTCTTTTACCTCTATCTGTGGGCCTCGCTTCCGAAGAGCCTCCAGTTCACTTTGGTAGCTCTTTAGCTGCTCCTCTGCACCTCGGTACTTTCTCTCCTGTTCCACAAGTTCCAAACGGAGATTGGCTACTTCGCTTTCAGCCTTGGGGTCTGGTCGGACAATCTCACGTACTTTTTCTTGCACAACTACTTTGGAATTTTCCTCTTCTAGGGCCCAGATCTTCCGGAGGAGTTCAGTCTTTTCTCTCTGACTAGAGCGAGATTTTGATGCTTCATCTTCATACTGACGTTTGAGGTCATTGACTTCTCTTTCTATTGCTGCATCTTTTTCCACTTTTAATACTTCCTTGACTGTAATTTTTCCTTCAGCCATAGCTCGTTCTTTCTCTAGTCTCTTGAGCTTGTCTTGCAGGAAACTGAGCTCTTCTTCTTGCTTTTCCCTTTGGGCACTTTCCTTTTGTTGCTGCTCCTGTAACAGCCTATATTCTGTCTCTAGTTGTGGGTCATTCTGCAGTTTCACTACTTCCTTCTCAGTGATTTTCTCCTGCTCTTTGTTCTTCTCCTCAGACAGGGCAGCAATTCGCTGCTGTAAGAGAATGACCTCAGTTTCTCGGGTTCCTTTCTGTCTTCTCAGTTCTTCTAGCTCCTCTCTTAATTTTAGGACTTCATCAGCTTGGGCTTTATCTTGCTCAATACGCAATACTTCTTTGACCACATACTCTTGACCCCCTTCCCTTGTTTCATGCTCCAGTGAGCGTAGCTTTAGTTTCATATCCTCTAGCTCATCCTGTAACTCTTTGTTTTTACGCTGCTCCTCCCCTAAGGTTTGCTGCATCCTGTGGAGGCTTTCTTCCAATTCAGGATCAGGTACCTTCTTTAATACTTCTTTTCTTATCACAGATTCCTGTGGCTTCTTATTCTTCAGGATGACGATTTCATCCTGAGTGCTTTTGACTTCATTCTCTAGCTGTTGTCTACGCTGAGTCTCATCATCTAGTGCTTTCTTAATCCTCCAGGTTTCTTCTGTCACTGGTTCTTTGCCTTGAATGGATTCATGTGTCACTTCTATCTCTGGCTGCTGTTATTGAAAAGAAAATGCATCATTAA